ACGCTCTTTGCGGAAGCCACACTGTGTCTCGGGTTAGTAGACCCTTTTCCAGGTGGTCAGTCAGGCGAGTCAGCAACACACGTGCAAGGATCCTGCCTGCAATGGAGAGCAGTGAATTTCCTCTGTGATTATCACAGACTTGTCCATTTCCTTTCCTCTTGTAGAGGTGCACGATGGACGCCTCTTTCAGTTCCTGAGGAATGGATCCTTGATTCCAGAAGGACTGGAACAGCTGAGTGAGTTTGTCGACAAGCACTGCACCGCCTTCCTTATAGACTTCCGCTGGGATCGCGTCAGATCTGGGGCCTTGCCACTGGACAGCTGGCTGGTGGCCTGTAGGGTTGCAGGGTTTGATGGTGGGGCGTTCAGGCTGTGGTTGATATCCGCCTGGGACTCCTACTTTTTAGGGGAAAAACTTGATTACTCCTAAAAGAAATTTATGAAGAACTAGCAACTGGTTTGACAGAAGAAGCTAACTCAGGCGGTTGGGCGGATTGTGCCCACCTGGCTCCCAATTGCACGGGTGGCAAAGTTCTATTCTGCCCCCTAGTGGCTGAAGATGTGACTGCAGATTTCAACACTTGGACACAGTTAAATTAATTAAAACTATTTGGTGTATTCAGAAAAATAAAATACCCCCATTGTGCATATCCAAGGGATGCACACAGATTCTCACATGTGTAGATTTCACTGCCCTGGCACTATCACAGAGCTGGACAGGGGTGAGTTGTACTGGATAAGGCCCAGAGTCCCTCTGGTTTAGCACTTCATTCACACAATAGTCAGTCCCAAAGGGAAATCCACTAGCACAAAATGAGTGCAATAGAGGTAGCCCTACAGTCATGAGGACTAGTAGCCTTGAATTTGAATTTGAATGAAGAAGGCCTTGCTTCCACCTGCCCTGCATCTCCCGCCATCTGGTTTCATGAGATGATCCCTCTGGGTTTAAGTGTTAACCACGAGGTGTTACTACCAGTCCTACCACGCTACACGACTCTGGTGCACCTGCAACTGGAGTATTGTGCTCAGTTCTGGGCCCCTCATTACAGGAAGGATATGGCCAGGTTGGAGTCAGTGCAGCGAAGGGCCACAAGGTTGGTGGCTGGTTTGCAGGGGATGCAGTCTCAGGGAGAGACTGAGGGAACTGTGGCTTTTCAGACTTGGGAAGAGGGATCTGTTGGCGACATACAGGTATGTGAGGGGGTGTCACACGGAGGTGGGTAGAGACCTGTTCTCCCCACAGGAAGGCAGGACGCGCTCCAACGGAGCCAAGCTCAGGGAACCAAAGTTCAATTTGGATGCCAGGAAGTTAGGACCCCAAGAGTATGGAATGGGCTTCCACGGGAGGTGGCTGAGGCCCCATCGGTGCGGGTGTTCAAGGACAGGACGGACATGCACACAGTGGGCATGTCATGAGTGGAGCCAGCTGGAGCTGGGGGTCAGACTAGATGACACTAGCGGTGTTCGAGAGGCCACAAACCGAACAACAGAGCTTCCCTTCAGTGCTTTAGGAAAGCTGATTTTTCTTGCTATCTCCAGAGCCAGGCACCAAGCCCCAGGCAGATATCTCTCTATAAGCTGGCAAACAGTTAGTTGACCAATGAGAATTCTGTGTATTTATTTCATTTTATGAAGAAGTTTCCCCCCTCTGCTTTCAGCAATGGCTCCCCAGGGAGGTAAACAAGGGGAAAAACATGTTTTTGGACGATTAGCAGGATGCTAAAAACAGAATGCACAAAACAAACTGGAGGGAGAAAACCTGAAGAAGAAGAAGAACGCATTGGCAGCTTCAGCACACTGCTTCAGCATGCTGGGTCCCTTTCACAGGCAGCGTGGGAACGGGTCTCTGTCCTCAAGGCGCATGCAGAACATTTTGTGGAGTAAGAAATGCTTTGGCCCTGGTCTGCTTGGCTGATCTTAGGAAACGGGAACACTGACATTCTGGGATGTTTTCTACGGAAACAGAGTTTGTGGCAATGAAGGTCAGCTCAGGGCATGGTTGTTTCCTTTCCTGTCGACTGGTCCTTGTGCCTTTGTCATGAATTCGGTTTTTGGCCTCATGCTTGAGTTAGGAAATTGTGCAATGGAGTGAACAGTGTTGGAAGGAACTTATTCCTAGGGAAGTGTGCCTGAAATTCCAGTTTCAGTTTTATTTGATATATTTATAGCGCAACTTTTTCCGCAAGGAGCTCAATGTATAATCTCACTCCTCATCTCCTTTTTAATCTTCCCAACAACCCTGTAAGGTAGGCAAGGCAGAGAATCAGAGGCTTGGACCAAGATCTTGTGTGTTCCAGTCCAAAACTGGGAGCACTGCAAGTGGTCCACCCTAGATTCTTTTCTTGAAGTATGGCTCTAGTCCTCATGGTTCTGAAGAAATGGCTGGTTTTAAATAGGAATTTGCAGCCTTGGGTAATCTGCTTTCCTTTTTGATTCCACAACAACCCTGGAAGGTCAGCCAGGTGGAGAGTCCTCTGGAGGTTATGCCCCATGGTAGTCACCCCCGAGTTCTTGGGGGTCCCCTGTTCTCTCCCTTGTTGGAGTGGGTGGTCCTTGAGTCCTCCAGCTCTTCTTCCAAGAAGGAATTAAGTCTCAGATAAGTGGGACTGCAGGTGGCGCAGTGGTTGAAACCGCTGTGCTGCTGGGCTGGTAGATCGAAAGGTCGCCGGTTCGAATCTGCACAACAGGGCGAGTCCCGTTGCTCCGTCCCAGCTCCTACCAACCTTGCAGTTCGAAAGCATGCAAATACAGGTAGATAAAAAGGTGGCACTTCGGTGGGCAGGTAACAGCGTTCCGTGCACCTCGGTGTTCAGTCATGCGGCCACATGATCCCGGAGACTGTCTGCGGACAAACGCTGGCTCCCTCAGCCAGGAAACAAAGGTGAGCACTGCCCCCTGGAGTCAGGCATGCCTGGACTTCACGTCAAAGGGAAACCTTCACCTTAAGTTGGCGACAGATTACAAGGTGCAGTTCTATGCATCCTTAGACAGAAAAAACTGGGGATGCTGGGTGTTGTAGGATTTTTTTCTCCCTAACCTGCACCGACTGTGCTTGAAAACCTGGCAGTCACCTCTGAACCCGCATCCCCACCTCTCTGCTTTGAACAGAACTAAATCCTGGCCCCTCTCTGTGAAAATAGCATTGAATTACACACACACACACACACACACACACACAATTTTGCTGGCTGGAGAATGCCAAGAGTTGTGAGATTTTTCTTCCAAGGCATCCATAGGATTTGAACTCTTAACTTTGAGCTTTTGACTCAGGAGCCAGTCCCATGAAAACAGGCCATGCCACCTCTTGCAGCTTTCATTTCAAAAAATTACTGTATTTTCCCCTTCTTTTTCCACCCTCAATTTGCAGCCTGATTTATTTATATTGATAGATCATGTTGAGAGCCCTCCTTTACTCCAGCAGCTAGTTTTTCCTCCAACCTATTTTCTGCTCCTAGCAACCCTGCAAGGTAGGCTAGGGGAGAGAGTGAGTGAGTCACTTGTCCGAGCTCCCCCAGCCAGTGCTGCATCTACGGGGTGGACTTAAAGCCAGGCCTGCTGCCCTCCTGGCCTTGCACCAGAGCCCATCCTTGTGGGTGGTCTAAGGATGTCTTCTGGCAGGATGAGACCAGAGAAGGGATCTTTCATACCTGTGCATCACATGCGATTTGATCATGTGTTCTCTCCAGCTATGGCAGAAGCACCATCCCTGAAAGGATGCAAAACCGAGAACCATGCATCATTCAGAGAGACAACAGGCAAACTCTTCCGCTGGGCAATAGATTGGACCCAGCTAGCCACTGGCTGCTTTACCAGTCTGATCTGGGCACACCGTAGCTGGCGTTCATCTCCGTAAGCCGAACAAGCCGGCGTCAGGGTTTTCAGGGTCCCAGCTGACCCCTGTGGGCTGGAGCAGCTGCTCCCGTCTTAATTTAGCATCCCAGAGGGGAGTTGAGCAAGGAACTTGCTGAGATGCCCTTTTGGTGACGTGGTCAGATGATTTCTAGCTCCTCAAATTTCCCTCCACCTTCCGGCCCAGGAAACTGTCCCTTTTTGTTGTAGAAGCCCTTGCGGGCAACCAGAAGCACAGATGGGAAGCCCAGATGGCAGAGGGGGGTCTGGTCCAGCCTACTCTGGTTTCCAGATGTTTTAGGGCAGTGTTCATTCTCAGCTTCTGCCTTTTCCATTCCCATTGTGGTGTTCCTGGAAGGCCAGAATAGGCGACTCGTGGTTTGCAGTGACTGTGGATTTTGGGATGGGTTGGGGGAATAAGGAACACCTGCCTTGGTTACTCTGGAACAGGTAAGGAGCACCGGATTGGAATTTGATGGGCGCGCAAAGATTCGCTCAACCGGCCTGTCAAATATTGATCACTGGTGCTCATCACACTGGACGCTAAAATTGGGTGCTGGACTGTTTTCAGTCCAAGGGCCAAATTTCTTTTTGGAGGTGCTCTCAGGGGCTGTATTAGGGCTGGGGCTAAATACATACCAGTCGGTTTTAGCTTAAATAGCTAAAATTTTAGCTCTTTGGGCAGTCAGTAAAAATTGAGAGAGAGATTTTGAGCCTTGTGGGATGTGCTGGGGGGGACGGGGACCTGCACAAAAGCCCAGAAACCATCCCCAAGCTTGTGATTTAAATATTGTATTTTGAATAAAAGAAAAATCATTTGTGTGCATAGCTTCTGTGTTAATTTTGTAAAGCTGTGCGATCCATTATAACTAGGAAAATAAAGGGAATGTTCAGTATTCTTGTAATATTTATATAGCATTTCCTACTTGTGCTTTCATAACCTTCTGGCTCCTCTCCTTGATATCCTCACAACAACAACCTTGCGAGGTGGGATTGGCTGAGAATCTGCGCTGGGTCAAAGTTATCTCACGGGCTTCATGGCCAGGTGGAGAGAAGAGCCCAGGTCTGCCCAGTGCTCTCACCACTCCACCACACTGCCTGTGGTGGAGTTTCAGACCTCCTCTGTTGATCCTCTCTGCCTTTTCCCATAGCCCTTCGCCGAGTGGTGTCAGCTGCTCCCCAGGGATGCTGCCAAGATGCCGGAGAGTGCCTGGAAACTCACCTTCTATGGTTTCTCCTGGTCCTACAGTGTCTACCTGCTCTTCTTCGCTGGCTACCCGTTTTTCTTCGACCCCCCTTCAGTATTTTATGGTAGGATCCGCATGTGGACACAAGCAAGAGTGGGCAAGTGGTATTACTTGGAGTAACTTTTCCACAGAACTTCTGTGGAAACTTCTTTCATCTCGAGGGGTGGAGTAGCTTTCGGGGTCACTTTTGGCGGTGGGTGGAACTAAAGGTGACCGGGGAGGAGCCAAAATGCTGGCGTGCTTTTGCTTTATGCTTTTATGGCCAGTAACCAAGACATCGCAACCTCAGAGAGTGGGGGAAATGACCCAAAGGCCAGGGAAGCGCCAAGCTGCCCTGGGTTGTGGAAAAGTTGGGTATCCATCCATCTAACCAGTTAAAGCTTTTATATACCATCCAACTACTAATGTCTCGTGACAATTTCACAATAAAAGCAACACAAAATAGTGCCCAGCATCCAAGACTTCCAGTGTAATAAAACCCACATTAAAACCTATAAACATTAAAAGAATGGGAAAATACAAGGTTTCACCTGGCGCCAGGAGGACCTCTCTGGGAAGCGTATTTCAGAATCGGCGCCAGTGCAGAGAAGGCCCTTCTCTGGGTAACCACCCTCCTTTAAGGGATCCCCAAAAGGCAGGTGGATACCCACATCCTGGTTATTTCCACAGAGAACAGCCTGGAACATTCTGCAATTTGGTGGTGGATCCCTGTGATGGAGCCCCACAAACCAGAAAAAGTGACTCATCCAATGTGAAAATACTTTCCCTTCTCCTTTGCCCTAGTTGGGAGCTGTGTTGTAAGAGCTGTTCCAATTTTCCCCTCTTCTGCCATAGAGCCTTCCACAAATGCCCGGTCTTGCCCCACAGATCCTTCACCCCAGGGCACACCATGCCTGAAGATACACCAGCTGCAACAACAATACTGCACAAATTTTCAGATTTGGCTGATGTTTCTGGATTTGAGCCTTAAAAGCTGATTTGGACATCTGAAACCAACATGATGCGAATTGCTCCATCTTTTTACAACTCAGGGCCTTCCAGATCTGTTGGCTGGGGGTGATGGGAGTTGTTCTTTGACACAGCCAGAGCAAAGTTACAGATAACTGGGGTTTATTACAGCGTTCCTTTCTGCAGAATAATCACAAAAGTTTACAGTAGCAGGATTTTTCAAGATCTCCCCCAAACCTCTCTTTTGTATGGTTTTGGCTTTACGAAATAGAAATAATAAGAAGAGGATTACAAGTAACATGCTGTGTAAAACCAGGCATTGCGAGAAAAGCCATGTCTGAAAGGGGCGTCCAGAAAAACAACATTTCTGGATGTATCGCTGGGGCGTTTTATTGTTCTGCGAGTGAGAGGTGTTGTAAGTACCCAGTTTTTATTTTAGGTACTTAAAAAAAGCAAGAGAGAGAGTTAATCTGCCCCCCAGCACAGTCGATCTCAGATGTATATTCAAGTTTTGGAAAGATGGGGACCAGGCCCAGAATTTCCCATGTAACCCTGGTCCCAGGAACCCATCTGTCCTGACCTGGGGCAGGGGGGACGTGCTACCTAGCCCAAGGATCTCCAACTTATTTTTTTATTTATTTAATGTTTTTGTATACATTAATAGCCTCGGGACGGCTTGCCAAATAAATATCACGCAAATGCAGTTAAAACCCAGAGACGCCCTGGCTGCATAATTAAAACCTATGAATATTAAACATTGTTAAAATACTGTTTGAATAAAAAGGTCTCAGCCTGGCACCGAAAAACAAATAACGATGGCACCAGGTGGGCCTCTCTGGGAAGCACATTCCACAGATGGGGCGCCACCGATTTCAGGGGGCAGGAGGGCAAATACGGAAGAAGGCATTCCTTTAAGTATCCGGGTCCCAAGCCGTTAAGGGCTTTATAGGTGATTACCAACACCTTGAATTGAGCCCGGGCTTCGATGGGGAGCCAGTGAAGCCGGTAGAGGACTGAGGTTATATGAGAATAATACCCAGTCCCCATCAGCAACCTGGCTGCTCTATTTTGTACCATCTGAAGGTACTTGATATCTTCCAATGTTTTGGACTCCCAAGTCCCATCAGCCCCTGCCAGTGCCAATGCTGGGAGCACTGGGAAGGGGTTCTGGAAAGCTGGAGCACTTCTGGGGGATGTTGACTCGCTCTGAAATAGATGCCTTGCTCAGTTCCGGGTTTTGGTGCATTTGGGCCTGCTGGACACTTGGCTCCATTGGCCTGATGTGCTTTCCTCCCCTTTCTGCATGTCTCCAGATTGGAAAAGGGGAATGGAGGTGCCGGGGGATATTGCCCTGGCCTACCTGATGCAGTGCAGCTTCTACGGCCATTCGATCTACGCCACCCTGTACATGGACACCTGGCGCAAGGACTCGGTTGTCATGCTCACCCACCATGTGGTCACCCTGACACTCATTGCCTTCTCCTACATCTTCAGGTACGTCCCGCCCACCAGGTACGTCCTCTGCTCCCCTGCCTCTCTTGGCTGGCTGAGCTCCTGGGATGTCACGGAATGACCACAAACACTCCTTGTGCATTGTTGGGTCAGGGTGGGTTGTGCAACCCCAAAAATTATTCTAGCTACTCTGGGGAGGGTGGAGTGTAATGTTCCGCTTTCCTTGTGTCCAAAAGCCTGGGCAGTCTTCAGAGCTGTGCCAAACCCATATGGCCTCCGGCTTGGGAAGAGTTGAAAAGCAGCTCTTATCCCTAGATATCCATAGATAAGCACTGCTTTTCCCTGAGAATGAAACTGTTAGCCTTACTGAAGCAAGGTTTAGATCCTCTGAAACGTTGAAAGAGAAGAACTTTAGCAATCCATCATTAGAGGCAACATCTGGTTTAAACAACCCACAGTTCGCAACCCAACGGGAAGCCAAGGTTTCTTCTTGTGGGCTGTTTGTCGTTAACCCTCGCTTGAGGGTTATGCTGAGTTCACACAACCTGGCAAAACCTATCGGGTTCGTTTCAACGTGGCTTGTTGAGTTGTGCCAACTGAGTTGGCGGACATGAACTCAGGGATGAAATTATTTTGCTGTTCCACCACCCCCTGCTGCCTGCTCTTTTTGAAAATTGTGGATGGGGGTGGGTGACCTTTCCTGCTTTATGCATCCTCCCCCACCTGGGTGTGCAGGTACCACAACGTAGGGATCCTCGTCCTCTTCCTCCACGATATCAATGACGTGCAGCTGGAGTTCACCAAGCTCAACGTCTACTTCAAGAATCGCGCGGGCTTCTACCACCGCCTGAATGACATACTCTCCAACACCGGCTGCGTCTCTTTCAGCCTCAGCTGGTGAGTTTTGCTACACTCCCAACAGCTCAACAGACATCCCTCAAGGTGCCCTGCAGTTGCCTTGGTCTTCAGTTTTCCTCCGGCGCAGCCCAAATAGGGCCTTCTCTGTGGTGGCACCCCGGTTATAGAATGCGCTCCCCAGAGAGGTCCTGCCTGGTGCCAGCGTTATGTGCTTTTTGGCGCCAGGTCAAGACCTTTTTATTCTTCCGTACTTCTAATGTTCAATTTTAACTAAGTTTTTACGCTCAGTTTGTGGATCCTTTGTATTATTTGGCTATCTGTGTAATTATGGGATTTGAATTGTAAGCTGTCCTGAGACCCACTGGTATTGGACAGCGTAAAAATACCAAAATAAAATAAGAAAAATAAAATAAAATAAAATAAAGCCAGCAGTGGGGGACACTGGTGGACAGAGATGCTCGCCGGGGGTGATCAGCCACGACTTTGGGTGACTAACTTTAACCTTATTTTGATTCTAACAGGCGGCTTTGTGATTTGGGGCCGAGACCCAACCGCTGCCTTTACTTAGATTCCTCACTAAGTTGCTTTTCTGTTACCCTCACCTGTTTGCCTGCAGGGAAAAGGTGTTCCATGAGCAACCGCGTCCCCCACCTTTCCTTCCATATGTCAGCCATTTTGTGAGAGTGCCCAGGACACTCACTTAAAATGCCCAAGGTGCCTGCCAACCCAGAAAGATTGGGCACCCCAGGTTAAATGAATGGATTTAAAAACCAGCTCCTAAAGTACCCTGATGAGGCAGCATGTTTTTAACAATAATAGTAATTGTATGTATGTATGTGGGGGGTATTCTTTTTTTTTAAATTTTACTAAGATTTTTAAACTAACACTAAAGACATCAGTCATCAAATACATCAGATGTACTGGGTCAGCCCCTTACTCATATTTTTTAACATTCCATAGTCATATTCAAATCCATTTATGATAACTTAAAAACATATTTAAATCTAAGCCAAGTCCCGTTTCTCTAGCCAATAATAATAAAAGTCCCAAGTTTGATAGAAGTCAGTATCTTCCTTCTCCTTCAGTGATAAAGTCAATCTATGCATTTCTGCACAGTCCAGGGTCTTTTTTAGAATCAGCTCGTCGGTGGGTGCTTCCTCACTTTTCCAGTGTTGAGCAAATGCAATCCTCGCCGCAGTGATTACATGCAAAATCAAGTACATTTCTTGTTTACTAATGTCCTCCGGTAAAATGCCTAATAAAAAAAGTCAGGTTTAAAAGCTAAGGATTTTTGTAACATTTCCTCAAGCCATTTATGTATTTTAATCCAATACTTTTTCACATTATCACAAGTCCAGCACATATGATAAGAAGTACCCAATTTGTGCTTACGTTTCCAACATCCATTTGACATATTTGGAAACAGCTAATCGATTTGGCGACAGATACCATCTATAAAACATTTTATGTAAGTTTTCTTTATATGAAATTGCTAATGTTGCCTTAATATTTCTCTCCCATAGCTTTTGCCACTTTTCTAGTTCAATATTATATCCAAAATTTTGTGCCCATGTTATCATAGCTTCCTTAACCTGTTCCTCATCCATTTTCCTGTCAAGTAGGAAATCATAAAATCTTTTAATCGTTTTCTCATCTGATTGAAGCATCACTTGATCAAACGCTGTTAAGGCCTTGTAAAAAGTGGGGGGCATTCTTAAAGTGGAAATACCCAGGGTGTGTTGCAGAAAGACCCTGCAGGGTGACGCCACCTGAAGCTGGTGGGTTCTCCTGTCCAGGTTCTGGTTCCGCCTTTACTGGTTCCCGCTGAAGGTCCTTTATGCCACCTGCCACACCAGCCTGCGCTCCGTCCCGGACATTCCCTTTTACTTCTTCTTCAACGCACTGCTCTTGGTCCTCACACTGATGAACGTCTACTGGTTCCTGGTGAGTAGCCCACCCTGCCAGGACCCTAACAGGTCCCAGGGATTCCCGGCCCCAGCCTCTTTCGGGAATCTTGTGGTGCATTTCCCCCTCCGGACCTGCCCTTTCCTTCTCCACCGTTTGGTCGTCTGGTGTTGGCTTCGGGAACGGTGCGTTGGCCTGCCAGTGTTTCTGGAGCAATGGGGGAGTTTATTTAATCCAGCCTTTGTCCGTGGAGCCCTGGGCAATGTGGCTGGCCCTCTCTCCCGCCTCTGACGTTTGTTCTGCTATGTTAATTATGATGTTCCTCTTGCCTTTTCTCTCCACATGTGTGGATCCTCCAAGCAGTTCTCTGCCTCCTTTCTGTTACTCTCACAACAACCCTGCGAGGTAGCTGAGGCTGGGAGCCAGGGACTGGTCGATGGCTGCCCATTGAGCTTCATGGCCAAGAGGGGGACTTGAACCCAGATCTCCTCCATCCTAGTTCAGCCACTGGTTTGCATACAATAAACCCACCATTGTGACCCTGAGGATGTGGATACGGGCCAAACGACCCGAGCAAAAATGGATTCTCTCCTCAAGCTTGCCTCACAAAATCCTGTGTTTTAAAATTAGGACACAGTGTTTTAAGCTTTTTGTACATTTTGTATTGGTAAACCGTCGCGAGACTTCGGTAATGGGACAGTCTAGAAAAGTTTTAAATAGATAACGTTTTTAAACAAATAAATAAAATCCTGGAGGGCTTTATAGTTTAACTGGTGAGTTGCGTTTCCAAAAGGAAACATTTTGATCAAATTAGGCCCCTGCAGTTGCCCTCTCTTGGAAGAAACATGCCTCTTTTAAGACAGTAGCCACTGGTTCAGATCCTTACTAGCCACAAACCTCACTGAGGACCAGTCTCATGATCACTCGTGTACTTCAGTGGGACTTGCTCCTGAGCAAGCCAGTGTGGTGTAGTGGTTAGAACACCAGACCTGCTTCTAGTTCTCACTCTGCCATGAAGCTCACTGGGTGAGTTGGGGTCAGTCCCAGACTCTCAGCCGAGCCGGCCTCACAGGGTTGTTGTGGTGAGAATAAACGGGAGAGGACGAGGAAGATTCTGTAAGTATCCTGAGGTTCTGTGCAAAAGGGGACGGAAGTGGGTTATCGAGAGGATAAAGGAGGAATTCGCTCTCACCTTGCTCCCTGTGCTAGCGGCTGGCTGGCCCCCCGCTACCAGCCGCCTTCCATTTTGGGCCCCGCAGTCCAGCTCTGGGCAGGGCTGGTGGGTGGCACTAGGCCTCTTGCCAGTAATTCAGCCTTTGGAGAAGCTTAGGCGAGAGCAGCTGCAGCCCTTTTGCAGTGCTGGAAAACGATTGCGCTCAAGGGAGGGGGGCTTGTGTGGCCCCTGGAGATTTGTGGGGGAATTGGGGATTCCCCTTTCACCAACGCACCCCTTTCCACCTCCTCTTTCAGTACATCGTCATTTTTGTGGTTAAGGTCCTGCTGGGGCAGGTCCGAGAAGTGAACGATGTGCGGGAATACGATGTCGACAGCGCAGCTTTGAAGAAGAAGGATGCGGATCTTCACATCCCCAGCTCCTGGAAGGAGGGGTATGGATGCCCCAAGGGTGGGGAGGGAGGAAAAAAAAGGCTTTTATTGGGCCAGGAAGACCCTGTATCCTGCCTCCAGCGGTGGACAGCCAGGTGCTTCTTGGAAGCCTCCAAGCAGAGCGTGAAGGCAACAGACCTTTCTTACAGGAAGCTAGCATTTAGGGATAGACTGCCTCAGGCTATGGGTGCCCTATTTGGTTATCATGGCTTATTATCTGTGTATTGTATTTTAATTCCATTCCTCACTGAAAAAGCCTCCCAGGTGATATACATGCAGTTTATAAAGCAAGACAGTTCCTGCCCCTGTAGCCTTACAATTTTAAAAATGCACAGCACACAAGGAAAGGGGTTGGGGAAGGAAGAGGAAAGCAAATGCTTACTTTCATTCACATTCCCGGCAACGTGAATGCTGTCCCCTGAACATTTCTTTGTTTTATTGATCTGTCCCATTTCTCCCCCCTAGAGAATCAAAGTGGTAAACAGAATTCTTTCTTCGCTGTTCCCCCATTTTATCCTCACAACAACCCTGCAAGGTAGTTTATGTAGAGAAGGAAGGTGTGTCCCATTTTCCCTAAGCAGGGCCTCTCCCACTGCTACACCAGCCCCAGAATGGTTTTTCCTGTCTTGTTTATGGGCCAGGAGAACGTGAAAGGGTTTCCTGGGGGTCAAGCTCGCCCCAGGTGACCGGAGCCTTCGAGACACCCCTATTTCTGCATAGCCACTCCCCTTTATTTGCATATTGATTTATCTGCTGATGGCCCTTCTTCTTTGCCTCTAGCATACACTTGAAGAATGGACTTGTGAAGGGGAAAGGATTATAACGCTGAATCCACGGCCGAGCAGCTCTTGAGGGACTGCGAGGGCACCCCGTCGTCCAACCCCTGCCTGCTGGGACAGCCACCAAAAGCAAGCCGACACCCCCGCCCCGCAGCCCCCTATGTTGATACCCAGAACTGGTGGGGGGGTAAGGTTGGCTGGGGTTTTCACAACTCCTCTTGAGTGCATTTCAAGCTGGGCCTCCACCGACGGAGCCAAGTCGGCAGCGGCGTTGGCGGTCGGAGGGTCCAGGGGAAAAAGCCCCACGCCGGAGAACAGGGTCTCAGATTTCCTCTCCTGAGTGCCCCTCCGTTGTCCTGGCACGGGGTGCTTTTGGTGATGGCCCAGGAGGGCAGAATGGCTTCCCCCTGCCCCCCCACTTGAGAGGAGAGAAAAAGCACATGTGTGAATTGATGAAATTTTCTTTTCTTCGGCCCTGTGAACCCTGGGGATGAAGAGCATCCCTCCATGCCCTTGTGGCGCAGCAGCCCACTTTATTTAAATTTATTTCTGGAGAGGATAAAGGGGTACAATGTCTTTTGTTTCAAGATATGCAGCTTTCCCCCTCCTGTTTGTTTGGAGTTAGCCTTGATCCTTGCAAGTACAGGGATGGGAATCTTTCTGAGTGTTCTCTGAAAAAGACTTATTTTTTAATGGTGTTTTGAAAATTTCTGTTTAAAATTTAAAGAAAAAGGACCAGGATTGGAGAAAGTGAAGGAAATAAAAATCCCCACTTTCCACTGATGTATAAATAGATGTGATCAAACGTGAACCTGCTGTTGTGGGGATTGACTTTTGGAGCTAATGATACAGTCGAGCTTCTTTATTCAGGCACAGTCTACCTGCAAATGTGCTGTCCTTTGCCAACCAGAAAGCAAAAAACAGAGAGTCTGGGCAAGAGCTCCTCATGTGGTGGGGGGTATCAGTGGGTGGGTGCCTTTCCAGGTTAACAACAGTCCAGGTTGCCGATTTTATGTTCTCTTTTCCCAAAAGAGGCATCCTTTGAGGAAAAAGGTAGCCGTAACTCCATCTTAGGCCAGGCCTGCTTTCTGGGGGCTCCAAATGGCCCCTAAATTGCCTGCCTGTGCATTCATAACATTTTCATCCGCTCGAGTTTCCCAGGAGATCATTTATGCCTCTCAAGCTCAGTGTTTTGATCTGGTGTCTTCTCAGCCACTTGGTGGGGGTTTATGTGCCAGATGGCTAATGACCCCCCCCCCCCCCCAGTATCTTGCTTCAAACACAGGCAGGGCTTCTTGGAGGCACAGAAAAGGGAAGAAAGCTGGAGTGGGTGGTGCAGGGTTACAGAGGTGCCCAGGGGTGGGGGCGGCTCCATCCATTTTGGCTGCATCCACCTAACCAGTGTGGGCCAGGGAGCTTGCGAAAGTCAAGGCAGAAAAAGAGTTTTCCTCATGAGGACTGATGTGAGAGGATGCCCGAGGGCCCTTTGAAATGCAAATACGCATTCTTCCCCTTTGCAATTTGGCACATTTCCAGCTCATCCTCCAGGTTAAAAAAAGTCTCCCACAGTCTGTTCCCAGGAGGTAAGAGCTGGCTCTGTCAGCTCTTACCCTTGGAACATCTCAGAAGGAACTGTCTGTCCCTGCTTGGGTTCACAGCTGGCCCCGGGGCCTTGTGGTAGGACTTGGAAGTCACCCAGGTGTAGATGTGCGTGTTGTGAGTGCCCTTGGCGTTGCTCACGTTCCCACGTAGACCCATTTTGGCACTTTTCCCCTCTCCCAAAAAGGGCCAGTCACCACCGACCAAGCCCCACACCATTGTTAAACAAGTTCCAAATCCTGACCCATCTTTGCCTGTGGACTTCCTTCCTGCACCTCGGAAAGCTGGATTCTGCAGCCTGCCTGCATTATGTCCGCCTTCTCTTCATTTGCACAGTGTCAGGTTGGATAGACATGCAGAGCGCTAGCCATGCCCAACCCCTGGAAAGATCACTTGGCACATGTGAATTGAGCCTGCCCACTTCTCCAAGTTTAGCACTCAGACTGTGCCTGTACACTTGAAAGCTTATCTTTGCGTTCATGAGGGCTAGAACCTTGCAGGTCTCGAATGGACACAGTCAAAGTTCTCAGCCAGATTCTGCAACTGATTTGCTTGGTGTGTTCTTTATCTGAGTTCCCGCTTGCCTGTGAGCTCCATCTAGGAAACAGAATTTCCCTGGCAAGTTTTGGATACTTGAGGACAACCTGTGGAAATTTGTATATGCCTGTTGATAGATCCATGCAAAACATGTCTTCACCCTTAAAAAAAAAGAGGTTGTGGAATAATACGTGTCTTTTTCCTTCTTTAAATCGCAGTCTTTTTTTGTTACTGTTCTTGAAAGCTTCAGCCACTGCAGCAGATTCCACACTGGGAAGGGATGTTTGCAGAAGCGCCATCCTTTGGACATGAGCAAGGGACAAAAACATTTGCGAGATGGACAGTTACATCTTCTCCTTTGCTTTGCTTTTGTCAGAACCCAGGCAAAGGCTCACATATTTTGGGTGAGGATTGCCCACTTCTTAGGTGTATAAAGCTGCTCCCACACCATGACTGGTCTTTTTCGCCTGGTTCCTTTAAGGGAAGGAGTTTTTCTCTCTCCATTTTGATTTAATGGATTATACTCAGGCCTGTTTGGATACCATGCTCCTTTGCGTTGCGTGTCCTCACAGCTATGGGGCATTCCACCATTGTGAGCAGAACAAGGATTCCCCCTGCAAAGTTGTAATTTAAATGACAGCCCTTCTGTGGGGGGGAAAAACTCATTAAAAGAGAAACAAGGAAATCCACCTGAAGGGCTTAGCTGGAGTTTTTGTTCTAATCTGTTCCCTACAATGGTCTAAAGTTGGTGCCTGAGTGCCAGATTCTGAAGGGTCCCCTTCAAAATGCCCATCATGATTTAAAACGAATAAGGTTATAGTCCTCAAGACAGGAGAGAGCCACATTTTGTGCAGGTTTCGTGGATGGGCTCTGGCCTTACTGGGAGGCAGAGGTTAATTTCAGTTACCCCACCATGTATGCAGGGCTTCAATTGATCAGGGCTCAGGTCCAGGCTTCCTATGGGCATGTCCAGAGTGCCTTTTCCTCCAAGTTCTGGTGTCTGAGGAAGCAAGAGTGGTTTCTCACAGCACTTCAGGGATGATCTTCTGGATACATCTGCTATCAAGGAGAACAAAGAACAAAGGATGCTTTTAGAAGGTGTCCCAATCCTGCAGCTAGCACTGCAATCCCATTCAGTTTCACAGTTTCTCCCTGATAAAACAATCTGGGAAGCCAATGAGTAAGATACAAAGTGATAAAAACCCTTTATCCTGGTTCCAGACTCTGGCAATAGAATTACACTTGATGACTTTGAATTTCACTGCTTTTCCTTTGAAGAGTCTTTGCTCTAATGGTCATTTTAAGGTCAGTGGCAAAATAGCCCCAAATAGCCCCGTGGAGGTGGGAAGCGGGTTTTTCTGCTGTCCTTCCGGGTGTCCCATTTGTGGCTGTTCTTTTCCCAAGACATTTCCCTGGAATATTAAACCTTTTATTTTATTTATTTATTTATTTATTAAAACATTTTTATGCCGCCCCATTCGCTGAAGCCTTGGGGCGGCTCACAACAACCTTGCGACTGCTGATGATGAAACGGGGTAGCATAGCGCACAAAAACTTTTGCCAGAGTACCATGGGGTTCAGACTACACAATGTCCCACAGTTAAGGTTTGTTTGTGAGGTGTAAAATTGTGGGTTGTGGTTGAGCCATGGGTTATTGTGCTTTCTGAACCCCTGGCTCGCTAACAAAAGATGGGTTTTAATTACTGCAAACAACCCATGAATGTTTGGGTGGTTCTGATGTTGGATTGCTCCCCATGTTTGTTATTTCAACATACTCAGCTCTTGAACTTTGGATGCATTCGCTTTTAAGGCAGCTCGAGGCATTTAATTCTAGCTGGAGCAGTTAGTTCAGCGACTGCAAGCATTAACATGGCTTCGCTCAAGTGGCGATGCCACATTTACTTACTTATTTAGAACTTTTGCAGATAGTCCGTCCCATTACCGAAGTCTCGGGACGGTTTAACAATACAAAATGTAAAGGAAAAAATTAAAACGGCGTCCACAGTTCCTAGCAGCTAGCCCTCACCTGTTTTGGGAGGCAAGGGGTTAAGCGATTTTGCCCATCCTCGGAGATCAGGAATGGGGGGTGATGAGCTTCCAAAGATCAAAAGGCACAAAAGATCCGATCATCCCCTTATCGAGTGCTTCTCCGCCCAGTCTTTCTGGGTTATCTTCACATCCCAGAGGAGAAGAAGTCTGTCTTTTCTCTCTGCCCGCTGCTTCTCTGCCGAGGAGCTGAGCTGCGCTCCGCATTCGCGCCTCTCTACCTATTGTCTGCGAAAGAAACCCCCTTCCTCATCCTCGGCCCTGTCACGATTTTGTGATGGGGTCTTTGCACCTTCAAATCTGTGTTTCCGCTGGGGTGCTTTGGGCCCTTTTGGCCATGGGGATGGCTTTGCACTTGCAAGAAAGTTTGCTTCTCAGATCGCTGGGGCTGAGAGCCAGACCTAGCCCCAAATCCCCCGGCCCGGTCCCTGCTCTGCTCTGGAAGATGTTCCAAACAAGGACCAACTCTTCCCTCGTGGCCAAGGACACCAAGAACCAGTGCTGGGTGGACGAATTTAAGGTGCCTGGAAATATAATCCGCGTCTTTCCAGATCAAGGTACGGTAGTTCTCTGGGCGCTGTCCTGCTGATTTCTGATTCGGGAAATGCAAATTCTTGATTCCTCAGTGTGAGCAATGCATGTTATTGGGTGTTCAACTGCTTTTTAATTTATAAGCTGCATTTTCTTGCAGAGAAAAGCTCGGAGTGTCCTGCAAAGTACACGTTCATAAAATTCAAGCTGGATGCCCATAAATCTGGTTCCAGCCGATTAAAAGCAAGTGGATTGGGCAAGCTGCGCTTGTGCGCAAAACGGGAGCGTTGCGTCTTGGGGACTAGCTTTGCTGACCCCATCTGGAAAACACCCCGAGAAAAAGAAGGTGCTCTAAGGGGCAGAGTTATTCTCATTTCCCTGAAAATGGCCCTCCCTTAACTCAGGATGGCTTACTTTTGAGTAGACACGCCCAGACTGTGCTGAGAGGCGACCGACTAAATGTTGGCCTCCTAGTTTCTGCTTTTGCAGACTGACCTTGCTTTTAATACAATATTGCTCTTTAAATAAGTGCGGGAAGACTTGCTTGAATAGATTTTGGAAACTTTTTAGGGGAACTTCAGGAAGAGTATTCGGGCACTAAGTAAAATATAGGAAGAATCCTCTTTTCCCTTTCCTTTGTAAGAACAAGTCCCGTTTGGTAATCTTTTATGTATCAGTCTATTCAAATCGCATTGGCTGTCTTCAGAGGAAGTCCAGTGGAGCTTGGGTTTTAGTAGACTTGAGTAGGTTATCTGCAAATCTTTCCCCCCCTTTTTTTGCGGGGGAGTGTCTCCGCTTGCTTCACTTTATTGCTAACGAATGGATGCTCCCTCTTTCATCCATTTCTCAGTCTTTTGTTTCATGCATGTCTAGTAATCTTACGCGTTTATTAACTAGCAGAGAGCATTTTGTGTGTGCGCTTTAAAATACTTAAGGATCCGTTACAAAAGAGGCACGAGCGGTGCCTTCTGGCAAGGATCAACACTGTGCACAAATGCCGAGCAACAGTAAAAGGCAAAAGCATTTTTAAGGGAGAGCAGGTCACCTCTTAAGTTTCGTGTGTCTTTCCGCTTTGCATAATTGAAAAGCTGTCCTTGCCCTGCAGGCAGACTCATATTTTGGCCAGGGTGCTTGTCCCACACCAGTGCAAAAGAACAAGGGTTTTTCGCACCTCATTTCATCTGTCTGGGATTTTGTGGAATACCCACAGAAAAGGTTGCCCAGATGACGGTGGGGCCGGGGAGGGGGGATCACTCGCGTTGTTTGCTTAAAAGATGCCTTTTAAGTACCCATCTGCTGAAAAGATGGCCAAATGTCAAAAAGTCAAAGTGCTCTTAAAAGGAGAGCTAGGAGGAGGAGAGTGCAAAAGTTGGCTTGAAACTCAACATTCAGAAAGCTAAGACCATGGCATCTGGGCCTCTCACTTCCTGGCAAATAGATGGGGAAGAAGTGGAGGGAGTGACAGATTTTACTTTCCTGGGCTCCAAGATCACTTCAGATGGGGACTGCAGCCAAGAAATTAAAAGACGCTTGCTCCTGGGGAGGAAAGCTATGGCAAATCTAGAAAGCATACTAAAAAGCAGAGACATCACCCTGCCAACAAAGGTGTGTACAGTCAAGGCTATGGGTTTCCCAGTTGCAGTGTATGGCTGTGAAATTTGGACCATAAGGAAGGCTGAGCGCTGAAGAACTGAGGCCTTTGGATTGTGGTGCTGGAGGAGACTCCTGCGAGTCCCTTGGAGCGCAAGGCGATCAAACTGGTCTGTCCTAGAGGAGAGCAACCCTGACTGCTCTTTAGAAGGCCAGATCCTGAAGATGAAACTCAAATCCTTTGGCCACCTGATGAGAAGGAAGGACTCCCTGGAGAAGAGCCTGATGCTGGGAAGGACTGAAGGCAAAAGAAGGAGGGGGCAGCAGAGGATGAGGTGGCTGGATGGGGTCACTGAAGCAGGCAGCGTGAGCTTGGGTGGACTCCGGGGGTGGGGGTGGAGGGCAGGAAGGCCTGGAGGAATGTTGTCCATGGGGTCGCGATGGGTCGGACATGACTTCCTTCATGACTAACAACAACAACAGGATCCCGTGAGGGCCCCAGGTTTAGTGGCTGAGGATGTAGTCTGAGATCTTGGAAATGAGATGACTGAGTAACTTCCAAATCCACCAACTGGGACCTAGTGAAAAAGGCACATGCTTGGAATTAAAAGTATTTTGATCCCAGGGATCGGTTTGAAGTACAGGAACCAAATAAAGCACAGTGTTTTTAAGGAAAACACTGTGTTTTCTCCAGTTCTGTTGGATAGTTAGGTCAAGGGGAAGCATGAAGGGCTTTAGATGCCTTTTGAAACTATTGGAAGTCAGAACCTGGATAGATCATTCAGAAATCAAATGGTAGACCTAGCTTTAACTTACCTGTGCTAAGTTAAATAGACAGCTATGTTTCATTCCCTGCATGTAGAAAGCTAGCATGACAAGCAACTGATTACTGTCTTAAACTAAGGTGAGAGGGACCTAGCCCCTTGGGGCAAGAACTTTTTTTTAAGTCTCAGATAAGCCTACCTCACAGGGCTGATGTGAAGGAAACATGAAACAGGAGGGCTTTCCTCAGTTCTGAGGAAAAGTTGAATACAGATGGAATAAGTCATATGCTCCAATTAGACACATTGAGGGAGATTTATAGTTTCCTAAAACATAAAATTTACTGCTCTGTTCCTGCAGGGGTTAAGAGGCTTGGGCTGGGGACATGAGAGCTCCTGGTTCTAGTCCACATTCAGCCATGAAGCTTGCTGGGTACCTTTGGATCAGTAACTGCCTCTCACCCCAGCTTACCTCACAGGGTTGTTGTGGTGAGGTTAAAACAGAGTTCTAGAAACTGCCTTGGGTCTCTCATGAGAGGAAAAAAGGACAAACTATAATGCAGTGCAACAATAACAGTTTTAATCAGTACTTAATTATCTATTTTCTGTTGGTCCCTGCCACTTGCCACTTATTCTTTACTTACTGGCAGAGAGATGCAAAAGTCAGTGAGATGCTCTAATGCTGCTCTGCCTGGCCAGCTGCCCTAGCTGAGCCTCCAAGCGATCGGCCATTTGGCTCCCTTGGACCAGCTTGCATTGCTGTGTAAGTGAAGGCGGTGAATGCGTACCAGGAACTCATTTCCAGCGGGGAGGGATTTAAGAGGTAGTTGGAGAAGTCCTGATGGCTAGCTGCCCCCTTCCAGGTTGGAAGGCAGGATGACCATGCATGCTAGTTGCTGGGGAACATGGGTGCTGCTGAATGCCTGCTGCATGCCTTGCTCATTCGTGCTTCTGATGCAGGTGGGCACATCCACGGAGAAGAGTCCCAGAGATGGCTGTGCCTGCAGAAGCGGCTCTATTTCAACCTCTCCGTCCTGGACGAACGGGAGGTGCTGACCCTGGCCCAGCTGGAGATCAAATTCGGCCGCAATCTGTACCACGCCTCCCCTGCGCACCCCTTCGAGCTGAGCCTCTACAGAGCTTCCCGGATGGCCCTGCGGGACACGCCCAGGCACAGCTCGGGCCACAAGCTGCTGGTTGAGCAGTCCTTCCTCCACCTGCGCAAGTCCTTCGTCTTCGACCTGACCGGGGCGGCCCAGCAGTGGCGCGCGCCCGCGAGGAATCTCGGCCTGATCCTCGAGATCAGTGCCCCGGCTGCGGCAGAGGGGGGCCGCTGCACCGGCATCGAGTCCTTCCTCGAGGCCTCGCTGCTGGCCGTCTCCCTGGCCCCCGGGCGGTGCGAGGCGTCCAGGAGGAAGCGCAGTGCCTTCCAGGTGCCCGTGGCCGCGAGCCACATCTGCAAGCCTCGCCGGCTGTACATCAGCTTCAGCGACGTGGGCTGGGAGAGCTGGATCATCGCCCCGCAAGGCTACATGGCCAACTACTGCCTGGGCGAGTGCCCCTTCCCGCTGACCGAGGAGCTCAACAGCACCAACCACGCCATCCTGCAGACCATCGTGCACTCCCTGGACCCCAAGGGCACCCCGCAGCCCTGCTGTGTCCCGGTGCGCCTCTCGCCCATCTCCATCCTCTACTACGACAACAACGACAACGTGGTGCTGAGGCATTATGAGGACATGGTGGTGGATGAATGCGGCTGCCGGTGAAGGGGCGGCCGTGCTCCCTGCCTGGCTTGGCCGCACCCCAGAAGCACCCACCTGCCTTCAGCTGCCGCTTGGGTACTCCGGGAAGCGAGCAGCGCCTTCCACACCAAGGGAGCAATCAGTTCTGCTGCTCTTCTGGCATGTGTCCAGCCAGAGTCTCTGTACGATGGTGGGTTGCTTTCAAGTAATTAAAACCTTTAAGCAGTGCCCACCCCGGTATTTGCCAGAGCTGTGTTTAGGTATTTCAGCCGTTTGTCTCTGAGTGTAACATGTTCAGTTTTGAGATTCCAGGCACATTATTCAGCTGCAGAAGAGCAAGAAATGTCGAGCTTGCTACACTCCGTGCCTTTTAAGCCTCTCTCTTGCCCATTTGGAGGGGATTTTAAAAACAAATCTATTCTGGTCAGGTATAGTAATAGATTAAAAATGGGGTTTCTGTTCCCTTTGGTGGGCCATGGCCTCCTGTGCACTTATGGGAATGCAGGCTGTTGAACCTCTCCAGCCTTTCATAATCGTGTGCTTTCCAGGCACTTTTGGACTGCAAGACCCAGAATTCCATCAATGGCCCCGCTGGAAGGGAATTCTGGGAGTTGTGGTCCAAATGCCTTTGAAGCCCACCTGGTTGGGGAAGGATACGTCCTGGGGTCGGATCCGGCCTGCCTCTGAGATTTTCAATGCGCTGCCGCCCGCCTTGCCCCCGCCCCCCACTCGGCGGGCGGCTTGTGAGATCCTTTTGGACTCGCTTGGAGAAAACAATCTCCAGGTGAGCAAGCCACTTCATTGCTGCGCCTGCACCTGCACCTGTGCACCCCGCCTCCCCCCCCAGCCCCCGTGGCACCACCCTTCTGGCCAGCGCCCTGCACTGGCTCCTTTCAACTGGCCCCCTGGTGAAAGTTTGAGGACCCCTGCTTCAGAGGGTGTGCTTGGCTTCTTAGGTCAGTGTTTGGTTGTAGAGACCAAAACGCTTATTTAACCTAACATCCTGCTTCTAACAGGAGGCAGTTGTGTGTGTGTGTGTGTGTGTGTGGTTTTTTTTTTTTTTTTTTTTGCAAGAACCCTCTACACACTTGGCCTGAAATGCTAGAGGGGCTTGGTGTTTTGCTCTTTAATGCTGCGCAGTAAAAATGCCTTAATGAAAGAAGAAAAAAAAAAAGCCCAGAATGGTATAAAAGAATTCCACCACATCCTTTCAGCAACTGTTCCGCATTTAAAAAAACAAAACAAAAAACTGCTCATCTGCTTTGGGAAGCAGAAGGCCAACCGGATAGAAAGTGGGCATGCTGCTTCAGGCCACCCATTTTGCAGAATACAAATCACACATGCGCACGAGGGAAGCAGCCTGCAGAAGCAACCAGTCGTGCAGGCACCGGTGGGAGCTCATCCCCAGCCTCACGGCACAACCTAGAGCAGTGCAGTCAAGAACCCCAGGCAGCGTGCGGCGCTCGGTTATGTGCTACTTCTTCAGCATCCTGAGCCCACTATGCAGAACGGTGCCAAGGAAAAGGTAAAAAAGAAATTGGGGAGAGTTGGTGAGCAGCCAGCAGAACAAAGGAGAGCAGAGAGGCAGCCTTGGTATTTTTCATCCGTATTCTGAGAATTTGGTTAACGCAGCCAGCAGCACAAGCTGCGCTGTGCGTCCTTTAGGCAACCAAGCTCAACGCCTGCATGAAATACCAGCTCACAGTGAGTGAATGCAAGAGCTCTTTTATTAACTGGATGACAAACAGATTTTGAAACAGAGACAGGAAAAAAAAAATCAAAAGTCTTAACATTGTGCTAGCACTTGATGTTTCAGTTGGCTTTATTAGAAAAACTCAAATCATGTAACTGCTACAAAGGGTTGAAAAATAACTCAGCACAAAAGCAGAGGCAAGTGGTGTTACCTAGTGAAATATGCGGGGGGGGGGGGGGAGGGCAGGGGGGGCGGGGGGGGGGGGGCTACATTACTCCAGGGATCGCACTGCACAAAAAGGGTTAGCATGTAAAGTCTAGCTCAAACGTCTATGCAGCCACACAGCCTACCCAAAGGGTTGGGGGTCGAGTTAAGTTGAGGAGCAGCCCTCCGGCGGTCTGAATAAATACGAGTTCATTGTTCAGGCAGGAAGGTGGCCTGCATCCTCTTTTCCTTACACCTGGTAGAAGTCAAAACTCTGGAAATGTTTCTTTTCCGGTTAATGAGAACAGCCCCGAGGTTCTCGTGGCGTGTGCTACTCCCCTCCCAAGTCTGCAGCTGGTGGATTCGGGGAGGGGCAAAAGAGGTCGGGTGTGCTTCTTGGGGAACAGCAGTGGGGGGGCGGCAGGGCAGGAGAGAAGGGGCAGATTTCCTAAAAAAAGCATGGGGGGGTCTCTTAAGTACATTCATGAAAGTTACCATGAGTTCCTCAACACACGGAAAGTTAAAACAAATGCTTAGAGCCCTTTAATCAGGAAAGGCTAACTTATCATAAGCTTTTAAAAACCAGTTCTAGGAAGCTGGTGAATTCTCGAAAGGCGTTAGCACACCTACCAGATAGCTGGGGGCAGAAAAAGAGGGAGCAGTTTTGTGTTTCCCCACCGAGAAGGTTTTTTGTGCAGACACAAATGCTCCTGCTGCCAAGCACAGTCAAGGTGGGGGGTGGGGGTTCTTTTCCTAAACCGGGTCAACTGGTGGTGGGGAGGATGGCCCCCCAGCACCATCTCCTGCTTGGTGCAAACTTCAATTCATTCCCCCACGTCCCAAGGAAAGCCATGGCCCCACCCCAAAATGTGCCCTGCTCCAGGAATTACATCCCCGTCAGCGGCCACCTTCCTGAACACGCCTGTTTCTCGCCCCAGCCCCCACTAGCCAACCTGCCTCTTAAATTCATTACTTCAAAACCAATATAATCCCCAGTTTCCACTACTGTTTTCCCCGTGTCTCACGAAGAGCAGCCCAAGCCCAGCATCCATTTTCCTTGGGGGCTGAAGGGCGCAGATGCCCCGTGTCTCTTTTGTGAAGCACGTGGGATGCCTTACAGGAAAGGGAAAAAAAAAGGACCTACCCTCACAGAGCTGAGCCAGGCAGCAGCTGACCGAAGCGGAGCCGCTCTGCCCCACCTCCACAATGCTCCAACTCACTCACTGACCTCCCTCCGAAGAAGAGGCCAGTTGACTGAAATCACACTGAAAAGATCTTTAAAAGATTGGTGCTCTAATTTAAAATTTTTTATATATATAATTTTTAAGCTTCTCGGAACAAGGATTCCCTCTCCCCCCTCCCCACCCCCAGGTCCACTACTAAAATTTAAGAGACAAACTTCTAAAAAAATATCCCGTGCTTCTTTGAAAGAATCTCTCTTTTTAAAAAGGAAAAAACCACCCCACCTGGTCGCAAGCCCATTCAGAAAGCAGGTGACGGCACACGCAAGGCTTGAAGCTGGACAGCAAAACCGCACATCTCAGAGTTGGGTACCAGCCAGCTGGGCCTCCCACTAGGTAGGAGGCTTTTGCACTGGGACGATGCCCTTGCTCCTAAATATGCCAACAGATGCCACTTTTAGGAAAACAAGAAAGGAGGAACGAAAAACAAAGAGACCTGTACCCAAAGAACTCTGAGATGGGTTTTTTTTCTCTTCCTGCCCTGCTCGCAACAAGAAGAACAGAATGACGTGCATCTTGTTTCTAAGGCCTTCTCTCTCTCTCTCTCCCTCTCTTTCTCTCTCTCAAGTGTGTAGGTTGACGGCGGGAGGGGCGGCAGGGGACTCCGCTGACCACTCAGCTCTTCCGGGGCGAGTGGGCTCCCCAACAGCGAGGTGCCAGTCGGTCCTCCGGTGCTCTCTTCCCATCTCCAGTCAGTCTCCTTGTCTCAGTGAGCTAGCAGTGGGCTCCCTCTCGCTCGCTCTTGCTCTCTCTCTCTCGTGCTCTCTTCCTCCTCCTCTCCGTTGGTTTCTCTCTCTTTTCTACCTCTCTCTCCTGTTGCTCTCACAGAGTTGCTTCAGTTTTAGCAGTGGAAAACAGGTATCCATTTTATTTTATTTTTATTACCCAGAATAAAATGCTGTTGAACTAAGCTCCACACAAGCTTAGCTCGTCTCCTTCAACCTAAAGAGAAGAGGAAGAGCATTCCGTGAGCACTGTGAGGCCGGGGTAGAGGCTTGAGCAGGGCTCGGGGGCTGTTGGGAGAAGCAGACCCGGGAATGCTGGCCTTGCGGGCATTAAGCCCGGCGGACGGACAGAGCTTTTCCCCATCTCCACTTCCAACACCATCCAGTCATGCAAGGTTTTTTCTTACTTTCCTCCCATCCCCAGATTAAGCTCACAAAGCAGAGGCCTTGCTCCTGCCTGCATCCAGCACCTCGGCCTTGAAGGGAACTGGAGGGCTCCATCCACCCTGCGCCCCAAGCTTCTCCAAGCACCCAAGCCAGCAGCTCTTGCGCCTTGTGCTGGTGAGGGCCGCAAGAGAGCAGCTTTTCAAATGAAGGCTGCAGATGCTGTTCTTTACCCCCACCCCCCGAAAGGCATCAAAAACAAGAGATGTGCCTCTAGCCGGACCCTTCTCAGAGCCTCCCCCAGCCCCCTCTTCCGCCTCCGCGGCAGCATCCTGGCTGTTCTCAAAAGGACAGGATGCCCACATCGGCTAGAGGGCCGGCTGGACGGGCACCAATGGGACTCCAACGCCCACGTTCGTGTGGTCCTTTTTAAGGGCAGTTCTCCAACCCTCTTTCATGGGCCAGGCCGCCTGCCAAGCACCCGTGCCCCCCACACCATCTTACGCCCTAATACTGTGACAGCCCCGTCACTCCGTGTTGATATGCGCGCTCTCCCTGGTAAGTCGAATCCTGCGACAGGGCCACGTCGATCTGAGACTTAAACTCATCACCAAGGTAACTATCCTGGAAGGGGAGAGAGAAAAGAATGCTCTCAGCGCTTTTTTTCATCTAAAAGGAGCTGGCTGGCTGGGCCATACTTTTGCATGTAGCATATGGGGCACGGGTGAAAAAAATTAGCACGCAGTTATTCATAATTCATACCCCTTATTAAGCAAAGCCGCTGCAGGCATAAAAACAAGATCCAATTCCAAAAAAACCAATTCCAAAGATTAGAAGAAGCGGCAGTAAAATTAGAAGCAGCAGGCCTGTTGGAACAAGCATCTACAAACACATCACAGCCGGCAGAAAGGAACCTGTCAGGCCTCCACAAAGAAAGGACCCTCCGCTTTGGGGCCTGCCTCTTACACTTGCCCGCAGGCCCTGACCTCCGCCTCAGGGGGCTGCATGGCTCCTCGGGGGCGGGGGTAGCTCTTGGAGCAACCCGTTCACAAACCCTCTGTGGGGGGAGGGACCCATTCCCCCACAGGACGCTGGACTGCAGCCCTTCGCAGCCGAACCAGCAGGTGGCGCGTGACAGGCGGGGGCTGCAGTCCAACAGCATCTGGGGGGCCAAAGACTCCACACTCCCCTCTGGGCCCTCGGAGGGCGACAGGAGCATCTCAAGCCAAATCTGGGGGCTGGAATGTGGGGCACGCGGCACGGCAGCACCCGCAGAGGTATGGCCAAGGCCAGCTGCACCTGCGTGTGTCTGGCGCGTCCTTCAGAGCCCCCCCAGCGGCACCTGCGGAGCACCCTCTCACCTGCGACAGCTCTGGCTGGGACAGGCCCGGCTGGCTCATCTGGGAGGGCTGGCTCATGGAGATATAGCCCTGCGTCAGTGGGCCCTGAGAGAAAGGCTGGGAGACCACGTCTTGGCTGGCCTGGCTGTTGGGCAGATTGGACTGGCTCGCCCCTGGGAGCCCAAAGCGGTTCTTCTGGCGCCCGCCGCGGCCGGTCTTGCTTTTCAGGTTCCCGCGTCCTGCAAGAACATGCGGATGTCTGCATGGAGGAGCTGCTCGCTCAGCCCCGCGGTGGGGCGGGGTGGGGGGAACCAGCCGGGGAAAGTCGGCCCGGGGACCTGGCTCAGGCTCTCCAGCCGAGAATCCAGCTCAAAGGACAAAGCCGAGCGCACTGAGCAGCACCCGCCTTGCGCCACAGCCAACGGCCGCTGCCCTCCAGCAGCGTGCCCCCAGCCCTGGCCACTCTCAGGAGGGCTCCCCCATAGGAGCACCCCTCCCACCTGCCCCCCAAAGCTGGGATGTAAGTGGTGCCCCCCACACTTCCTTCTTCCTGCCCCACACTCAGCTTCCAAGGGGAGGGCATCCTACCGGCAGCCGGCCCGTTGGCTTGCCCGAAATACCCGGGGGGCGGCATGGGGGGCATCACCAGGTTGAACGGGATGGGGATGTTCATGGCGGCCACGTGGCTCGGCCCAGCGCTGATCATGCCGATCTGATCGTGGGTCTGGAAGTACATGTTGGAGGGCCGGCCTGGGGAGAGGGAGAGGAAGAGGGAGGGGGAGCTCAGTGGGGGAGCCGGGTGCGTAGAGGCCTCGTGCTGCTCCCAGGCCTTTCAACCCGCCCCAGACACGGAGACCGGGGAACGGACTGCCTCCCCACTTCTGGCCTTTGCCACAGCACAAGGAAACCCCCTGGCAAAGCTCCACACTCCGCCGTCAGCCTGCACTTTGCATTCAACCGCAGAACAAAGACGGAGCACAGATGAGCGCCCACACGAGGGGTGCAAAACCCCCCAGGCAAGCCGAGCTGCCCGGCCTCCCTCCCCCGGCCAAGGGGAGAGGCTGTGGCTGGGACGGCGCTGTGCCCACGCCAGCCTGTTCCTTCCCGGCCCTTCTGAGGAGGGGAAGCCCCCAGGACCTACCTTGGCTGCTCCGGTCATACACCGACCCGGGGATAATCGCTTCGCGGGCATCGTACATGGCAGTCGTCATGAACCGGGCCCCCTAGGACAGAGGGCACAGTGCAACTTACAAAGGGAGGGGCCCACGGGGGTGGGGGGGCTCCACAAAGCGTCCTTCCAGAGCAGCCTGCACCCAGACGCCCGGCCGTCTCGCTCTTGCGTCGGCCACAAACGCACCAGGCTGCTTGAGGCAAGGCACCCTCAGTCCAGACTCGCCCCCCATGGGGGGATCTCGCGGATCTTGCCACCCTGTGCCCCCGCAAGGATGGCGAAGCGCGAGGGAATGTGCAGTGCCCTGAGCTCGAGGGCTTCTGCAGCCAGGGCCAGGGAGACCCCCGCCCTCCGCACACGCGCGCCCTCCGGTCACGCTCATCCCACGGGGCCCGCTCCACGGTCTGCTGCCAACAGCAACGCAGGGGACACGAGACAAGTCTTCCGTGGCCCCCCCACCCCCTTTAGGTGGCAATTAAGGCGCTTTTCGTCCACTGCACTTCCGGTGGATTCCAGTCCTGTCTGTCGCGCAGCCCGTGTGCCGTTTACGTCTCGGGCCACGGGGGCCCCTTCGGGCTGCGGCCTCTCGGCCACTGCCCTTGCGCTGCTGGAAGCTCGGCTACGGCGCCCTGGGAGGGGCCCCCGAGGCTGCTGAGGTTACGCCGGGCAAGAGGAACGGGCAGCCTCACCGCCACTCCCCGTGGGCGCAGCCCCGCGTCCCAAGGGCTCCCCCCACCCCCTGGAGTGCCCCCCCGGCAGAGGCACTCACGGGGTTGATCGTGTTGACGAGCTTCCGAGGCTTGCTGAACTGCATGAGGCTCTCGCGGAGGTTGTTCAGCGGCCCCTCCACCAGCACCTTCTGCTCCTTGTAGTAGTTCAGGAGGTGATTCCAGAGGGGCTGCTTGGAGAGGGCCTTCGGGTTCCCGACAATGATGACGCCATACCTGGAGAGGCAACGGCCACGTCCTTCAGCCTGGCCCAGGCAGGGGGAGGTCGGCCTCCCCCCCGCCGATGCTGCGCCAGGAGCCTGCCGGAGTGTCCTGTCCTGCATCCGGTGCCCTTTTCCGTATTGATCTGCGCATTCAATTTTGACGTGCCCGGGAGCCTTTTGCAGTCACGCAGGTGATGGCTGGCGAGAGGACCCGTGGCACCAGGTGCAGGGAAGCCTCCCAAGGAGGCCTGCCTGGTGAACTCACCCACCCCCCACCCCCACCCCCACGTGCCTCACTCTTCCAGCAGATCATCTACATGGGTTTCAGTCTGATGGCACTGTTGCTTCTACTATTATCTCTGTCTCTTTCTAACCGGTCACTCATTTAAGTTCTGATTTTTAAGCCAACCACAGAGCAGTGTGCAAATTTTTATACTTAAAGGCACACGGATGGCGAATACCAGCGGCACATAGCTAAATTCCTAATTCAGTATGCTTCCAAACGTCTACGCAAAGCACGCCACCCACGCCGACCACCGGTCGAGTTGCTCGCCGCTTCCATCAAGCAGGAGGCGGCCGGGCTCTCCCTAGATTCCCGGGAATCCAAACTTCGTAGCCGGACAGAAGCAACAGGCTCTCTGGGCCGGCCGGCACTGGAAGGCTGCTTCCGCACCTTGCTCTCGTGAGCGCCACGTTGAGACGGCGGGGGTCGTTCAGAAAGCCGATTCCCTGGTGTTCGTTGGCTCTGACGCAGGACAGGATAATGAAGTCTTTCTCTCGCCCTTGGAAAGCGTCGACACTGGCGATTTCCACTTCCTGAAAAGGAGTGAGGGAAGGGGAAAAGGGAGCAAAGTGTCCAGCAGCGGAAAGTGATGATTCCCTCACACCCCCAGGGATGCCATATCTTCTTTCAGAACAACCAGGAGTGACTTACTCCTTCCGTTTCATTCAGGGACATATTTCTGACCCCTGTAATCAACTGCTTAAAATATTTCCATGGCCTTAAGGATAATCTTGTCTCAGCCTCTCAATGGATGCTTGTGCATGTGTGTGTGTGTGTGGGGGGGAGGTTTTGCAAATTCTACCACTGCAAAAGTGAATGTTCCCTTGGGTGCCAAGGTGTTGCTCTAATCTGTTACGCCACATTGTGAAACCGAGGCACCTCCAAGCTGAGAGTGCGATGCACAGCCCAACCTCTAAAGCAATTGGGCACAGCCAGAGAGGGCTCATTAGCAGTCCAGACGTATGGGAGACGGCAACTCCTAGCATCCACAAACCAGCGGGCTGGAATGGAGGTCGACACTCACAGAGCCCAGTGGCGCTTTTCCATACTACGCTGCCCCCGCACCCCTGCCAATCCATGACCCAGCAGTGGCTGGGTTCCTGTGCCCTCAGGAAGAACGTTCGCGGGGACAGGGGCGGCTGCCCTGTACAAGGGGCTCGACATTGGAAAGCCCGGAAAGCAGCTGGAGAAAGCCAGGCTCGGACCTGGTAGAGCTTGGTGTGCAGGGAGCCGCTGAACTGCATGTACTGCACAAGGTAGGAGCGCTGCCCCTCGTAGGGCGTGATGATGCCGATCTGGTCCGGTTTGGCACCTGCCTTCAGCAGCTTGGTGGTGATCTTCTCTACGTTTGCAGCCTCCGTTCTGGAAGACACACAAGGGCAAGGCAGGGCAGGGCAATCAGCCTCTCTGGACCCTCGTTTGAGCTCCAACAGGCAGGCAATTGCCTTTAAGGTCGGGGGGGGGGGGGAGCATGAGGCCAGACTTCCTTGGATGGTCACCCTCCCATTCCCAGACGGTCTGGTGGTTTTCCTTGCTTTTGCATGATCTTTTGCACCACTCCAAAATGGATTCCAAATGCCTTTCCTACAGGTAATACAAACATTGCAACTGCCCGCCTCCTGGGCCCTCTGAAGTTCACTTGGCCAAAGGAAAAGTACGAGTTTCAGCAGGAGCCCCAACTAGAACAGCCTGCACCTGATATTGCAATGTTTGGGGTTCGGTGTGAAGGGCAAGCTGTGAACAGCTTTTCCTCACTAAAGGCTCATGTGCTCCCTGAACTGTCTGTCCAACCACATCCAAGACCAGGCCTCTCTCGGCGCGGCTGCAGACCTCTGGACTGACACACGGGCTAAAACATTCAGCCTGCTTTGTGTCTTGCAGTCACACCTTCTCAGTTTGCGAGAAGACGGCCGCAGCCCTCCTTTTTAAACTTGGAAGACACTAAAGCAACCCCCATTCTGGCCCAGGGACTCAGCTGGAGCATCGCCTCCTTGCCAAGTGCTTTTTTTTACCTGTTCAAGTAAGAAGTGCCGGAGCTGGCGATTTCTTCTTGCCCCTGGGTCACATAGAAAAACATGGGCTTGTCTGGCTGGGGCCACTGGAAGTCAAACCCCTTCTTCACACGGTCCGCTGCAGAGGACACAGAACTCAGCTGTCAGCACCAGCCTCTCCCATCCTGGCCGCCGCCACACTTGCTGGCCTGCAATGCCACCATCTGGCGAGGCGAGGCTGGGGGCTGCACTCCCAGCACAGCAAGGCAAGAGGGGGCCGGTCTGGGAAAGGCTGTTCTAGGCCTTGTGCAGAATCTAGAGCAAGGGCTTCCCGCCCAGTGGCAACAATCAACGCCCCCAAAAGGCACAGCCTCCCGACGTGAGGGCCACCGCAAGAGAAGCTACCTTGCTTATCTGAAGCTCCCTGCGTCCTGTGCTCCCAGCAGCCCTCTGCCCACCTCCCACACCTGATACCTGCAGTGACGCCGTTCTGCAGAGAGCCTTCGTAGAAGATGTTGGAAGGAAAGGCGCTCAGGGCCGGGTGCATGCGGTACTGCACTTGCAGGCGGATGGGCCGGATTCCGAGCACCACGAGCCGTTCAAAGAGGGACTGGGACAGGCCTGCCTTGGCCGCCTTCTTGCACATCACCACCGGGCCGAGCTGGCAGTGGTCGCCCACGAGGATCAGCTGGGCAAACAAAAGGTGCAGACGCTGGAGGGCAGGCAGCTCCTCATTCTCCCCACTGACCGCTCTTCTGCACCAGCCCCCAACCTCTCGCACCACTGGCTCCTGTGTGCCACATCCTTGCCTCTTGTTTTTAACAGTTTTTTCTCCCCTGGCATTCGTCCTCCACCCGTCCTGCCCTAGCTTCATCAGTTCCTTCATCTTCAGCCCCCACATGCTCAATTTTAAATGCAGACAGTGGTTTGGGGCTGCATCTTGTCTTTTACGCGTGCGAGGCTGTTACTTGCCAACAAACCTAAGTATCAGGGGTGATGAACAACTGGAATTTTTCCTGACAGCTCAAAGAAGAAACATTCCAGCAAAGAAACAGAGCTCACACACCCAAAGTGCTTGGTGTGTCAAGATGTCTGCAAGCAGCAGAACAGCTGAAGAGCTCCTTGGCTCTTTAACCCACTAGCAGCTCCTACCTGCTTTGCCCCAAGGACCACGGGCACCATGCATTCTGGCTCAGTGGCCTGCGTGCTCTCGTCTATCAGAATGGAGCGGAACTGCATTTTCGCGAGCCTTGGATCGCCGGCTCCCACGCACGTGCAGCAAATGACATCAGCGTTCTGTGGGTAGGACAGCGGTGGGCGTTGAACAGTGAGGCCTGGGTGAGGTCTCAGCCACAGAAACCCACACACTGCACGTGAAATCCACACACTGCAGTCCCTTCTGTGAGGTCTCTTGGAACCTCTTGCGGTAAGCAAGAATGCGGCTCTGCCTCCATAGTGCATGAATCTGACCGTGAGCAATTTGTCTGGTCTGACCAGCTGCCAAGGCCAATTCTGCAAGAACTGAAGGCAGATAAGATTAGATTATTTTTTACCATCAGCAGCTCCCGCTCAGCTGTCCGTTTCAGTGCCCGGTAGCGCTTTTCATCTGCAGACGACAGCTCCCCCGTCTCGTCTTTCAGCTGCTGCAGCTTCTGCAGCTCTGGCATACTGAGAAGCAAATACACACACACACACCAGTTACCCCCTGGGCCCCACAGGGTTCCTGTTTCAAGTAGTTATATCCCACTTTTACATTTAACAACGAATGAAGACAACACAATTAAAATGAAGCAGCACGTAAATGTGGATACAAAATGCAAATACCAGAAAATAAAGGAAGCACTTGGTCGGGTAACTAATTCAAGGATCAGGAAAAAGTTGCTTTTACAGAAGTCTGCTTGAAAGTGAGCTGATATGAAAACAAGTTTTCTGCTTGCTAAAGCTTTGCCTGGCCAGAACTGCTGCCAGGCACCTAAGGAAAGGGGGGGCGCTCCACGCTCTGCGCTGTCAGGCTGCGCTGTACCTGTCCATATTCCGGATCTGGTTGTGCAGCGCCAGGAACGAGACAGGAGAGTCGATGGCCTCGCGGCTCTTCGCACAGAGGCGCACCACCTTCAGCCCCGTCTGGTGTATCTTCTCGGTCAGCTGGTCCACAGCTATGTTGCTCGGGGCGCAGACCAGTACAGGCCTTCGAAAAGAGAGGGGAAGATGCAACCAAATACTCAACAGGGGGTGAAGGCAATCAAGCCAAGCAAGCCCAAGAGGTCCGTCTTGCTCCTCACCACAAACACCATTAAAGGTGACAGAGGGAATCTGCACTTGAACAGAATCCATGACCCATGCGTCATGATTAAGTTTCCTGCTGCTTGATAATGGAGGGTATTATTCGTGTGTTTCCTTCCTTGTGTTGGAAGCCCAGAGACAGAGTTTTTGGTTTGCTTTCTGGCTCAGATCTGAATCTTCTTTGCCCTTCTTATGACTCCGGGCTCAACGAATAAAGCTACAGCTGTGGGGCTGTTTCACCTGTGCCAGACGGCAGGTGCTGGCTGCACACGTAAGAAAAGGGCTATATAAGTGGAGGCTCCACTTCCCCAGAAGTCGTCCCTCACTCTCTGGAAGCACTGCTGGCTCTTCCCGAGGAAGATTCAGCCCTTTCCACATGGGCTCTTACCCATTTCCTTGCCTGGCCAAATGGTACACAATGGTGGCCGACGTCACGGTCTTGCCTGTCCCAGGGGGACCCTGGATGAGGCTCAAGGGACGCTGCAGGACAGTCTTCACGGCATACACCTGAGAGGGGGAAGATCGGGGATTTGCAAAGGCAGAGCAGGAGCTGCAAAACGGGCACGGAAGGCGCGCTGCATTGCCACCCCAGCCTCAGCCATGGGACTAGCGGAGGTCACCTGAGAATGGTTGAGGTCAGGAAGTCCTTGTGCCGTAAAGCGCTTTGGCAGCTGGCATTTGATAACCACATCCTCCACCTCATGACCCAGAAGCTTGTGATAGATGTAGCCGGACACAGAGGTTTCGTCCACAGCAAAGGTTTTGAGGGCACTCTGCATTCTAAAGAGAAGAAACACAAAAGGAGCCTCGCCTTGTGCCCCCGCAACGTTTGGTGAGGCTCTTCGCAAGCTGGAGAGGCCTCCTCACCAAGGGTTCACCCACCTGTCGAAGGACGTGGACTTCCACACGAAGTCCACTTGAAAATTATGGGTCACTTCCACAGGGGCACCGACGCTGCTCCTCAGCTCGATCGCGATTTCGTCACCATAATCTTCAAAACCGTGTTAAGTAGCAATTGCTCTGAACGGCCACAAGTTTCTTTAAGAGGCTGCCTGGACGCCCTGCCTCCAGACCCCTTCCTGCCAAGCTGCTCTCTCATGTGGATGCCACCGGAAGGCCTGCAGCAGCTTCCGCTGCTGGACTGGAGGTGGCCTAGCCCTGTTAACGGCCCAAAGGGAGGTCCGCCTCTAAACCGCATCTCAGCTACTTAAACCTCCTCAGAGGAAGAATGAGGATAAAGTACCCATAAATCAAAGCCTTTTCCTCCTTTTGGATGGCTGAATCGTTAATGATGTTCTAAAATGGCACAAGGAAAGGGGCCCTGCAGCTCCCACGCTTCTGCTTCAAATGCCTCAGGCTGCCCCTGAGGACTCTTTTGGCTACTCAGTCCACTGTACAGCTGCAGGGTCAGTCCAAGCCCCCCCTCTCCCCCCCCCCCCCCCAAAGTCAAAAGGATACTATCAGGAACTTTAATAACATGGCCGATGCCTTTCCAGAGTGGGGCCAAGTCCCCCTTGTAGCGCAGGCAGATCTCATCGCCCTGCATCAGGCGCATATCTGAGGAGACAGCGAGACGCCCGAGGCACTCCTGAGGCTGGCGAGAAGTGCCCCATTTACGAGCAGCAGCGCTGCACGGTCCGAGTCGCCCCACAGCTCACACCGTTTTAAAGGCGGCCCAAACCAATCCGTTTGGCTTGTTGGCCATGCTGATTTTATGTTCTGACCTGAATCAGTCTTTGGCAAGGTGAAGTAGGCGATTCTTTTCTTGTTCAAGCCCAGGTCCCACCTCACGGTGATGTTGTCTTGGGTCTAAACACAGAAGGAGAGACCCTAACTTGACACTGTGGCAAAGTGAGGCCAACAGCAAACCTGGAGCTCTTCCTCTGGCTCCCGTCCAGGCACTTCACGGCCAGCTCACGGCTTGAACAATCCCAGGGAGGGCAGTTGCTTCTCCCTGGTGACCCTCCAGAGCGAAGTCTGATTAGGGTTTGCTGGACAACCTACTCAGGAATGCCAAGCATCGCAGGGGAGGCCAGGCAGCATCCAAGAAAAGAGGGCCCATCAGCCTGGGATTCTGCTGCTCTCGGGCCACGCGTTGCTCCCAAGGAGGCAGAAGCTGACCCCCTCTGGAGGAGTGGCCCGCTCACCCGCTTCCTCTCGTGCAGCCCCCAGTAATCCTAACCTCAGTGGCCTCAATTACCCTGTGGTGGCAGCTGCTGAAGGCTGGAGCCCGCCTGTGGGAGAAGCCACGTCCTCCGAGCCCTGAAGGCGGGCAAGTCTGGCACGGTGGCCAGCGAGACTCTTCACTGCGAGGAGCCCGGGACGGCCACCCCTTTTCTCCACGCCAAGAGCAGGCCTCCCCTGAAGGGGATGCTGAGCACGCCCTTCCTGCTGCCACCGGGCCCACACGCTCTCCTCCGATCCTGCCCATACCTGGGACTCCTTCAGCTTCTTGTCATAGTCGGCTTCGAGTTTGACCAGAGGCCCAAAGATGTTCTGGTACTGATACGCGTCCTCGTATCTGAGGAGGACGTGCTGCGGCTCCTCATCCACACCGGGCTTCTCCAAGTCCTCGAGGGTGGCAGAGGGGTTCTCCTGCGGACGAGAGACGCAGCAGTCACACACTGCAACCCACCCAGTTCCAGTCACTTTCACAGGCGGCTGCCCTTCAGGTAAGGAAGAGCACCAGCGGCAGGCGCAAGTCCACCCACGTGTGGACCGAACACAACTAAATACAGACATGCGGGGCAGGTGAACTGGCAGCCTGTGGATCCAGAAGGTCTGTCTATTCAGACCACAGCGTGCCTTACAGTGGTGCTTCAGACGGAAGCTGTCCCCGCCCTCCTGCAACTGTGTTTCCACGGCTGAACTGTGTAAAGAAGGGCCCCCAGACAGTCCGAGTGCTGCGCCAAGGCAAGCACCGGGGCCCTGCAGGGTTTGCTGCATGGCCAGGCAGTGGCACACACCTTCCAGAGTTCCTCCAGCTTGTTGATCTGCTGCGCCGTGATCTGCCGCGCTCGCAGCTGCTCCTGCTCAGACGGGATTTTGACCAGCCAGGAGAGGAAGCAGCGGTCCTGGATCAGAGGCTGCCACTGCGAGCTGTCCCAGTTGATATCCTTCAAGCTGCTCTGACTAGCACACGGCTGCCTGCACAACCAGGATATCAGAGAAAACGTTCTGTCACAAGGAGGAAGGCGTCGCCGGGCGCATTTATAAGGCGCGGCTGCGATCGACTGAGACTGCAGAGGTGGGGGGCTGCCCCACTTAGGCCCTGCAGCTCCGGAGAAGGAGCTTCTCTTACCTGCACAGCAAGACGACCACCGAGTCCGCCTTGGCTGGGATGAAGCCGAGCAGGAACACGTTCCGGCAGCCGCAGTTGTAGCACTCCAGGACCGTCTCGCCGAGAGGGCCGTCCTTGTGCAGGGTCACTTCTTTGCACTTTGCTCGCACAAGATGGTTCACGATATGGCTGCCAACAGAGAGAAAAGCAGGCTCACGTGACCTGCAAAACCTCAAGGAGGCATCGAAACCAAAAAGGCGGCAAGGAGAGAAGTGTTCTCGGTGGCGCGGAATGGGGGGAAATGAGGACAGGCCAGTGTGTTTTGGAACAAGCTCGTTCCTGAGAAGAAGCTACACCAACAATGACACTTCTCTTGCAGCCGGCAACGGTGCACGGTTTGGGACCACATAACCGGCAGGACTTCCGACTGCCTGTCCAGTCACCTGGGGTCCCCCGAGGGCCACATCTGCTAGCAAACACCTGGCTTGTTTGAAGAAGGGGGGCCTTTTCAGTAGCAGCTCCACATTCATGAAATTGCACTCCAAAGTGACTTGCGTAACAGGCCACAACGCAGACATTAAAGGCCAGTTTGCTGCACCCTGCTTTTCTTGATATGAAAAGCTACTGTTTGTTCTGGTGCCAATTGTTTCATCCACATTAATAGTAAGCGATCCTGTTTTATGAAGCACTGGTGTTTTACATGCATATAATAGAGGGGGTCATTAGGAGCAGGCCGCAAAAAAGGACTGGTTGTGTTGACTATTATTGTGTTAAGCAACTTTGTTTGCATTACTCTGCTGTTAATATTGTACTTGCTATGACTATATTATAGTATTCATATTGCTTTTGAATTTTTTGATTATATCACTGTATTTACTTTGCATCTTGTCTTGTTGTAAGCCACCCAGAGAGCCCTGTGTACTAAGGGTAGTGCACAAACGTAATAATCAAATCAAATACCTCTTATAGATAAAGTAACTGCAGTTGAAAGTTGCTTCACACAAAGCCCTGGCTGAGGAAAACGCATTCAAGGCTGAATCCATACAGGACATGGAAAGGGGCGTAACTCTGTGACTGAGCCGACACAGAAGGCCGCTTCTTTGCCCTCTCGTTGGGAGGAGGTAAGATAGGAAAGGTGTTTGCGCAAGGTGGTGGGCAGCCGCTGCCAGTCAGAGCAGGCGGAACTGGGCTGGAGAGAGGAGGGCCCTGCAGTCGGGGCAGGTTGTCTTCCTAGGCCCACGAGCTTAAGGGAGCCGAACCAGCAAAGCAACCACGGCCGCTTCTGTGGCTGCAGCATTACCTGCCAGATGTATTCCCACGCCCATTGCAGAACCACTTCTTGCTGGTGTTGCAGTAAACCACACAAGCGGGGTCATGAATGCCGCAGTAGCTGAGGGGAACGCAGAGAGAAGGCACGTCAGTTCTGCTTCGAGACAGAGGCAGGGCGCTTCCCCCCGGCCCTTTCCAGCCGAAGCGGATCCACCATGAAAGATGGGGGTGGCTGCTGTGCATCCTTGGTTCCCCTGCACTGCCAGGAATGGGCACAAGCAGTGGAGTCCCCGTTCTCCTTTGGGCCACCGCAATGCGAGCGGCGCTTTGACCACAGGAAGCGTACGCTGCCCGAGCGCCAGATCCTGCCATGCTGCAAGATAAAACGCTGCAGTGCGCGGACACGGTCACAACCAGGATGCTTTGCCAGAGGCCGCCAGATGCTCAGCCGTGCTATGTGGTGGGGAGCCCAAGAGCACGGTGGAATGTGGCCAGACCGAACAAATGGCAGCAGGCTGCCACGTACACGAGAACGAAACACGCCTGCTTCTTTACTGGGGGAGCCTCCGGGAACCTTAGCAACACGCCCCCCCCCAAAAAAAACTTCTTGCCATCTAGAAGACCTCCAAGGATACCTGGCACCCACAACCCATTGTGTCACTTCATCACCTGAAGACAATTGTTCACATGCCACTGGTGTGGGCCTCTCCCTGGCACACAGCCAGAATAGGGGGCCTCTTCCCTGCATTTAGGGAGGGGAGTGTGGGTGGGAGGCTGAAGCCCTGGGAGTGGGAGCCAGCAACTCATCCTGATCAGCCTGTCGCTCCCAAGCCCTCTGGCCTGGCACCTCAGACCAGAACATCATGAACTCAACTTGAATCGCCCTTGAAGTTAAGCTCAGCTGCATCCAAGTCCTAAAAGCTCCCATCAGTAGACAGGGATCACACCTGCAAGCCCAGCCCCCTTGTCCAAGCTCCAGGTAAAGAGATGGGTGGGAACTGGAAGTGGCAGTCGGTGAAGACGGAAATGGCTCTTGGGCCAAGGGAAGGGACTCTGCTTGTGGCTTCCAGGATATGTGCAGCTCTCACCTGCATAGGCCGCACCAGCTTACCTGCAGGCATGCACAGGAAGGTCCTTAGTGTAGTAGGTATCTTCCTCGTCTTCCTCAAAATTGAGCTCTGCAAGGAGCTGGCTGGCCTTGGGCACATTATCATCCACAGCCCCATTCTGGAGGATGCCATCAGGCCCATTCACCTGCAGCAAAACAGGTCTCCTGTCACGCAGCTGTGATTCACAGAAGCAGGGGTGCAAGGGAAGTGGCTCACAGGTAATGGGCAGGTACCAACTCAGGTGGTTGTGCCTTTTGTCATTAAGCGACAGCAGCCAGCTGGAAAGGATGAGGGGCCACGCCAGAGCCAGCCTGCTTGGCCCTGTGGGGGTACAAGTCTCAGTCTTTTCAGAGATGTATCAGGATGGGCAGCCTTGATAAAAGTCCCAAAAGTATTCTGGTAGACAGCCCACCTGGAAATAATTCTTATACATCACAGGCAGCTAGTCATTTAATGAGTGCATACATACGTGTGCACGCACACACGCACACGGCTGAACTTGTTGCTGAAACACCTTGTCCTTTCAGAGCCACAGGTCACAGATCACGCAAGGCAGCCCCACTTGTCAAAATCACTGGCACTTCGAACAACTTTCTGAGGCTCACTTTATCAGAACAAGCTTCCCAATGTTCCTCCCCTTCCTCCTAATGTTCTTGAACTATCCAGAGCACAAGGCTATCTAGAAAACCCCAAGTCCCAAGAAGCTCAAGAGGCAGCAATAGCACAAGAGCGTCTGAGACAAGCCCACGCCTTCCGTAACACTGGCACGTTCACTAAACGAGCAAAGCAACCACTGCAGCTGCTCAGTCTGCATGCTTGCCTGGCAAGTCACTTTTAAGAGAGCCTAAGCCAGGGCAATGCCGACCGCAAGCAAGTGGCTCTTTCATGCACAGCACCCCCTGGTAGGAAGGGCAGCGAGAACCCTCCCTAAAGGAGGTAAAAAGGACATCTACTCGGAACGGGGCCTTCTCTGCTGTGGCGCCCAGATTATGGAATACGCTCACCAGGGAGGTTTGCCTGGCACCAAGCCTATATTCTTTTCGGGGCCAGGTTAAAACCTTTTTATTTAATCGTTATTTTAAAAATTAGGATTTTTAGTGATTCGCAGTTGCTTTTGTTCTGTTTCGATTTGATTTATTTGTATTGGTTTTTGGCAATTTTATTGCATTGTTTTAATGACTGGTTTTATGGTTATTGGCTTTAATCTTGTAAGCCATCCTGAGATGTGACAGTGAAGGACAGAATATAAATGTTTTAAATGAATGAACGAATGAATGAATGAGAGCTTTGGAGGCAGCTTCACTTTGGACTGCACCTCAGGGGCTTGAGCAAATGAATACTGCACTTCCGCAGCACTCAAGGGAGGACCTGGCCTGCCAAAGCCTCTCCTGTGCCGTATGTTGCAAGAGGGGGGTGTCAAGAGGGTTTTTTGTGGGAGTTATTGTTAAATCACTGCAAAACAGATCTAAACAATTTCTTTAAAAGGGGGAGGTCTTGTGGCGCTCTGAAGGCTGGAAAATATATGATGGCATAAGCTACCAGTAATGCCAAGGCCTGTACAGCATCATCACCACAAAGCTGAACCAAAAGTGGTATCATCTGATGGTGCTACAACAATCTTGATCCACCAAATTCAATCACTTCATATATACCCAAAGTTACTTCAACACAGGCATCTCTGTATCTATAACACAGAACAATACTTCATGCATCTTGTGAACAGTATGAAAATTTACACTGTAACATGTTGAAGTCTTTAAAGTGCCACAACTTTTCTTTTCTTTCTTTTTTCTTTTGCGGCTGCAGAAAACTGATAGGGCCAACTCCAGACTGAGATAAAATGCTAAACTGCTTTATATAAATCAATATATGAAATGTGTGCAACAGAATGCCTACTGACAGCTTAGCAATTAAGTCCACTGCGCCGCAATTAGAGCTTTTATAATCCGTGGGGATAATCCAGGCATCCCACATGCCTTTTCAACAGCAGACATATTTCTGTCTGCTCAGAGACAAGTTCCTGCTTAGCTTAGTTATGCCGGCACACAGGCAATGAAACTCAGTAAGATACCTTACTGGAGATAGAAATCCTGCACGAGGATTAAGGAGCTGCATGGAATTCTCCTCTTTTGCGTGTGAACACTCACAGGCTTGAGCTGAAGCAGGTCTCCAGGACGACCAGAGATGAGAGTGTTACAAGGCAACCCAGGAGTTCTCCCTGAGACAGTACTGTTCTGTCCGTTACAACCGCGTGTGGTTTGAACAATCCACGATCTGCCACGTGAGATAGCAGAGAGCACCCACGGCCTCCTGCATGCCCACCACATCCGCTGTTACTAACCACCCACACAACTTGGGCATAGGGTGCTGAGCAGGTCATCCAGACGAGGACTGATGACTTGCTTAGGGGCTCCACAACCCTGCAGTTAACCCAGTTTCTTACTGGGACAACTCCTTGGTTTCTCAGCTCCTAAACAACCCACCTATGAAGGTTTTTGTGTTGCTTTGTAAAACCAGAAATGGCTGGTGTCCTGAAGGCAGGACTCCCCCCCACCTCGCTAATCCCCAACAGCCCATAATTTAAAGCAAGGTTGTCACTACATGTGAACTAGCTTACAAATGCTTGCCCTTGGATTCTATGATCAATAATGCTTTCCTAGTCCCCGAGTTCAGTAGAAAACCTGTGCATATTGAGTAATGCACAATATAATGCATTACTCATTGAGCTGGATCACATACAGCCGCTGCCAATAGTGGATTAGTTAACCCTCCTTTGGCCACAGTACATTAGCTGCCTCTGATCATTAGCCACTTCTGAGGTTTAATATGCAACTGCTGATCAGCCCCATTATATGCTGTTCTGTGATAGGTGAACCTTGCCACTTTGAGCTGTTCATGGGTTAAGCAGCCCAAAATTAACCTGAGAAGTAATTAGGCTATGATTTGCTGCCATTCTATATAAGCTAGCTCATTAAGTCATTTATAATGCTTAACCTCAAGTAAGATTCCTTCCCCAGATTTTTCTTCAATAGAAAGCTGCTTTTAACCCAAAAGCTTGTTCTGAGAGAACATAAATTGAGTTTTTAGTGTGCCCGTATGCACTAAATTCAAGTTTCTTTTTATATCAGGTTAAAAGGTACACTTATAACTCATAACTGAATTGTTTGAAAATAATAAATCCATTTTGTGAGCCCACAATTGATTTCTACCTATTCGTGAACCTTCACTCCCGTCTTTGCCTGGAAGAAAGCAGGACCTTGCCACGGTTTGAATTACAGAGGAGCCCAAACCCCCCACCCCCAGCAGCCCCTGCTTTTGGAGCACTGTAAGGGAGGAGGAACACCAGTTCGGTATGTGGGAGCTGGGAGCTGGGATGGAGCTTGCAGATTTCATTCCCTACCATCTTCCCCATGCCTTTGAGCAACAGAGCTTGGACCTGATGCAAGGAAACCTTTGGGTGCTCGATTTGGATCTCCCTTCAACACCTAGGACTTGATTCCCACCCTATATGGAGGAAAAGTGAGTATGTATTGGGAGGAAGAGGACTAAGACACACCAATGTATAAGGCACAGCCTCTCCTGAATCCAACAACGACTGAAGCACTCAATACCAAGGTGCAACTCTCCATTTGCCGATGACACCTTGCTCAAAGGTTTGCTGAAAAGGTTGGGGTAAAACCAAGTGCATCTCACGGACTTCCTTATCCCTGCACAAAACCAGATCTGCCATCATCTCAGCATCTCTTTTTGAACGGACAAGTCCAGGGTTTTGAACAGACAACACACCAGGGTTTGCTCGACAAGCCTTCTTTGCCTGAAGAAAATTGTACGGCTGGGCTGCCCACTCCCATCCCCTTTCAGGCAATACCTGCATATATACCTATGAGAAATAGCAGCGTTGGCATTCAGGTCAACTCTTTCAGAAGACACAACCCACTTCTGCTCAGCTGCAGACCCTGGGCTTCAGATCTAACATCTGGGTGGAGGGGGACGAAAGGGCTTGTTTGTGAAGGCTGGGAGCTTGCTAGAGTGTTTTGTGCAACAGTAAGCACTGAACACAGCAGATCCTGCTACTACTGTTACTCACTCCATTTCTGTACTAGCTGAAGCTTTCAGGGTGGTTTGCTACTGTCCTTTTGGCTCTCAGCAAGGGAGGAGGAAAGCCCACCCATGCATCCATAAGCCAGACCCTGCCCACATGGCAATGTTTCAGAAACACTCACACAGCAAAGGCTTTTCAGACTGCAACCAAACTGCGCATTCTTCACCAGGGCTTTGCCTTCTTTTCTGAAGCAAGAGAAAAAGGCTATTTGCTAGACTGGAAACCCACTGCCTGTTCCTGTAAAAGCAGCTCAAATGATACAAGTGCAGTTCAAGAGAACCCCCGACTGTCCAGGTCACTATCAACCAAGGATGCAAAACCCTTTTATGCCCACATCCAGCTGTCATTTTGCAGACAAGGTGTTCCAAAACAGGGATAGCTAACTTACTCGGGGCCACGCATAAGAAGGCCTACAAAGTTTGCTTGTGCTTAGTAGTCACTGAGGTTCTTACCCTTTCTGCTCCATGGATACAAAGCAAGTGCCCCCCCGGGGGGGTTGTTTTCAAAACAGGGGTACCACCGCAGTCAGTGCATGCACATTTCAACCCTTCCCCTCCAATTCATAACACGAATGTTACACCTTTGCAGAAGACACACCAGCACAGCCTAGAAATAGGCTGTGAGAAGGCTGGCTCAGGTCATGAGACGTACTCTTTCAATTTCACCCTGCTGCAGTATACTGGTCTGTCTCTGTTGGCCAAGCAGATTCAAGAACCAATGTGGCACAGCAGTTAGAGTGCTGGACTGGGAAACTTGAGTTCTGGTCAGCATTTGGCTGTGAAGGTCACTCATGACGCTCGGCCTAACCACCTCACAGGGTTGCTGCATAAGGTTAAAATTGAAGTTTACATAAATCACCTTGAGTTCCTTGCAACAAAGATATTCGCAAAATTAAGTTTCTGGGTGCTAATAATACATGGTCCTATTCCTTAGTTCATAGCACAGTATTTCCACAAATGGGACACCAGAGTTTCAAATGTACATCTGAGTAAGACGCAAAAGAACAGAACTGCCACGAATTGCACACACTTGATGATGCCCTTTTTAAAGGAGATGTATCAGAATAAAGTGAACATTTATGGCTTTTAGCCTGTGTATTAAAACTGCATCATGTTTCACTCTCGTGTTATGCTCAAACGGAGTGGCTGATGATAGTGGAAACCAACTACTGGAAAAAATAAGGGGTGGATGGGTGGAAGCACAAAGTACTTCCTGAATCTTCGTGGCCAAGAGAGAGAGAACTACAATAAGCAAGAACATGCTTCTGGCTTGCTTTGTTTCTGTGGTATATTTTCACTGTGCCCAGTGAATAAGGTACAAGATTAACCCAAAGTCTGCAGTGTGCCAAGAATCAATTCTTAAAAGGGAGTTGCACTGTGAACCCATGAAAACTCACATGCACAATGAACCATGTTTCCTAAAGAAAAAACAGGTTTCGGGCACGGCCTGTTGTCACTTGTCCAGCGCAAGGTGATTAAACTTCCCAAAGGACTCCCATGGGGAACAGCCTGGCCTGAAACACAGAACTCCACTGTCTGGCAAAGCAAATCCAGAGAGCTGGATGGAAATCTACCCTTAACAGCCTGGGCCAGGCAAGTTCATTACGGGGCACACCCCTTGCCCCCCAGTTCGTATCACACCTAGGTCCTCAGAGAGTGCTCTGCATACACGATATGGTAGGAATGCTTGGAGGGATGAGCTGAATCCACAAGCAGGTGCTTTTATGCACTATGACGCATTATAGTACCCCCACCCCATTTCTTGGCCTCCTGACTGCAAGGGTGCTTCAGTCACAAAGGCTCGTGCACTGTCCTGTTCTATCCATGGATAGTTGCCTGTTTTACACACTGCTTTCAAGTATTATTCACAATTATATTCTACTCTTGCAAAAAGTCATGTGCCTTCAAATGACCAGACAGGGAAACCTCTGGAGACTGGGACAGACTTGGAGCTCTGTTTCAGAGCACACAAAATCACAATCAGTGCAAGTCTATGCATGTGCAGGCAGCTAGGCACAATGAGGACTAGTGACAACAGGGGGCTTATGTTTTAAGAGGCTGCTACATTTCTTCAATATAGTTAGCTCACACTTCTACACACAGAAGTCAATATTTAATTAGTTTCACCTCCAAACTCACAAAATGTGCATTTTTAATATTTATTTAACTGATCCTGACCTTATTTAATGCTCTTGCATTACTGATTACATTTGGTATTAAAATTTTTAAGGCTTTAATTTTTTAATTCTTTATTTAAAATGTATTTATGATTTTGTAAGCTGCCTAGGATTTTTAATTTATATTTCCATTTATATGCTGCCACATAAACAGGTTACACACCACCCCAATGCAGTTAGCTATGACCAGTTTCCAGTCAACACACCATCCCACTTTACACATGTAAAGTGCCAAGACATACTTACAGATGTATCTCAGCTGGGTACTCCAGACGGCCTCAACCTAGTTTCCTCCATGTGCACCTAACTGCAACTTCCACTATTTCCATCTAGCATGGTCATAGCATACGCATGTTGTGTGTATATAGACTACTCTATCCATCAGGGCAAACGCGAAAACTTATATCATGAAAAATGTGTCAGGACTAAAACAGACCAATACAACAATCCATCTGGAAATAGCCTCTAACCACAAATAGCTCTACGCAGACAGACGGGAGTGATGCACATGGTATTCTGAGATAAGTGGCTCAATGTTTTGAAATCATTGTTAGTTCATCTACCTTTAAAATGTAGGAACACGTGTATCTCCAATAAGCTTCTCTCACGTGCAAAATACATACAGAGAAATACACTGTAGAAAAATATGCACTTTTCTCCGAAATCCCCTTGACTTCCTGACCAGGAAAAGTGAGGTGCAGGGACATGACTGCACATTAGGTGTGTGCACACATACCAAGTATACATCAGATAGTCTACATGTACCAATAGCCCTCCTTTGTTCCTTGAAGGCCGCTCCTCTTCACCATCTTATCCTCACAACAATCCTGGGAGGTGGGTGAGGCCGAGAGGCCAGTGCCAGGCCCACAGTCGCTCGGTGCGGTTTGCGGCCAAGTGGGGACCAGGACCCAGGCTTCTCCCGGATCGCAGCCCCCATCTATTCACGCACATTATATAACACGCGTATGCGTGCGTGCCCATTACATACAGGTCTGTGCATTACGCACAGGGACACGTGTGCGTCCATCGCAAGGATGCACAGCGGCGCACGCGAGCCCTTCAGGCGCGCACACGTGCGGGCACCCGCTGCAGAGCCGCAAACTATCGCGCAGGAGACGCGAGGCGCGCTCTCCACACGTGCGCACCTAGTCCGGATACCCCGTTTCCGCGCGGCTCCCACGGGCAGGCCGGCCGGACCCCCGCCGCCCCCGCGCCGGGCCGCCCAGGCTTCGCCCGGCTCCCCTCCGCCCCTCCCTCCCTCCGCCCGCGCCGCGCTGCGCCGCGCAGGCCTCACCTGGGCGTCGAGCGGCCCCGGCGCGACGACGGAGGGCGGCCCGCCCGGCCCCACTCCTCCGCCGCCTCCGCCCGGGGCGCCCGGCACGCCGGCGCCGCCCCCGGAGCCCCCTCCGGGCGGCGTCTGGGTCTGGCTGGGCAAGGTGAAGTCGGTGAACTCGAACTCGGAGCCCTGCGTGTCGGCGCCCAGCAGCTCGGCCTCCTCCGTGTCGAGGAACGTCAGCGTCTGCGAGCTGGGCCCGTACGCCTCCACGCTCATGATGCCGGTGGCGGCGGGGCGGCGGCGGCGGCCGCTCTCCTCGCGGGTCTTCGCGGCTTCTCTCCCTCCGCCCCTCGCGGCGGCGGCGGCGGCGGCGGCGGCGGCTGGCGGCGGCGGGCGAACGGCTGTCCTCGGAGCGCGGCGGGCCTTCTGCGCCTGCGCGGAACGTAGGCCGCAACCGTCAACCGGGCCGGACGCCGGAGCGAGCCAGCCAATGAGCGCGCGGCCCAACGTACGCCGAGCGGCGCGAGCCTCGCCGAGCCGGGGAGGCAGGAAGCGCGGAGAGCGCGCGCGAGCGAGCGAGCGAGCGAGCGAGGGGAGGCGCGCGCGCGCTTGGGGGAGAAGAATAGTTTCTACTGCGCATGCGTGTGCGTGCGCGCGTGCCGCCTCAACGGCCACGGAGCCGCGACTCTCTCGCCCCGCCTCCTTCCCTTGCCTCACTGTGCGTGCCTGAACCGTTCCTCGTAAGCCCTGCCTCCTACACAACGAGACGGACAATCCGGCTATCCAATCAGACCTCCGCCTTACAGGATGTGAGGAGAAGAGAGGCGCGCCTGATTAGCTCCGCCCCCGACAGAGAGACAGAACGACTGTCCATTCGGATTCCCTTCCTGAGAAGAGAAACGGTCCCGCCCATAGGGTTATCTAGTCAGAATGTCAACCGGAGGGGAGGGACGAGCGTCTTACAAATTGGCAGGAAAATAGTCCAATCAGGTTCTTCTCTGGAGAGGCACAGCAGGCTGAGAGGTCCTCCTTATAGCACCACCCCTTAAGCACATAAAAAGACTAGCCAATCACATACTGAGGCTGGGAAAAGGGTACAGAGCGCGAGCCAATCAGCTCGAGGGCGACAGCCTGTGAGGGGAGGGGAGAGGGAAAGCGGCCAGATCCCGAAGTGAGCGAAAGCGACGCTGTTGGCCAATCAATCAGTAAGCAGGCGCTGCAGAAGCCAATGAGGCTTCACGGTCCACTCAAGGTCCTCCCTCCGCCTTTCTTCCTCGTTCCCCTAAGCTGACGCGACACGACACTTACGCTGCGTCCGTAAGCCACGCACGTGGCGGAAGGGAAAGGAACCAGCGCACCGCAACGCGCATGCGCCGGTCCTTGCGGCGCAGCAGTTGTCAGTGGAGCGCCTCTCCGTAGGTCACGCCCCTGCTCCCCGAGAGGAGGGCGGGAAAAGCCAGTAGTTGGATTGTGATTGGCTAGAGCTTTTGCCGGGCAAATTAATATGCAGATAGAATGTGTAATACATTGTTCTTATCTCCAGAACAAAGCAAATGATCACCAGCTGTGCTTCCTGTACATACATTTATAAATACATACATCCATATTTTTATAGATAAAATAATATAACTTCGAAATATTTAACAGTTTTACACTAAAATGATTCACATTCCAGATTTTTAATCTATGTTGTGTGTTCTCCCAAAAAAAGTTTAAAATGTTTTAGTATAAGAAAAACAAAATGCTGCACATAAATTTCTCTCTCTCCGCAAATACATATAAACACATTTTTAAAACAGACTTTGAAAGATTTTGATGAAAACAGCTTCAGTTTAAAACCTGTTTCTGCCATTTAATTTTTAACTCGGATATCACACTATAAAATGTTCTTAAAAATTGGTCCCCAGAACTGAACGTCCTTTCTGTAGTTTCAAGGTGTTTAGGATTTACTTGGACCTTGTTGGGAAAATCCAAATAAATCTTTACAGAGAAAGGCTGGTTATTTGTGCCTTTTTGAGATATAATCAGACTGCAGTCTCCCTGCTCCTCTGGTCCAGAAAGGGACTAAAACTTTTCACCAAGCGCCACATGCCTGGGAAAAGCAGGCAGCCTCGGGGCTCCATTATTCATGCATTTCCTTGCAGAATCAGACAAGCCTTTGGGAAACTCCTTTTCCCGTGTAGAAATACCTGGGCAGCCCACCTTTGCCTGTATCTCTGATAGCAAAAACCACATTCACGCCCGGTAGCTTTAACTCCTGACTGCTTTATCTGTTACCCAAGCCTTCGATGGATCATGATATTTTTCCTGATGCCTATAATGATTCCTCATGGATGCCGGGGGATGGTGGAGGACAGGAAGGCTTGGAGGAATGTTGTCCATGGGGTCGTGATGGGTCGGACATACAACAACTCACAACAGCATGATTCTTCAATGTTTCTGTATTGTTTCCCATTGTCCTCAGCTTCTCACCCATATAGAGCCTCATCACTGTCTTATAAAAAAATACTCTGTGCTATGGGAGCTTGCAATTGGTGGCCATATGTCTACCTGGCAGCCCCGTTTACCTGGGTTGTTCTCACCAATAAAACTGCTGAGGTTCAAGGGCAGCAGCATCTCCCTGGGGATCCAAGTGTACTTTCTTTCAGGCTGCTAAAATTGAATTCCCTGACATCCTAAACCTACATAAAGGATACCGTCCTATGCACACTTAACACAAAGAAGGCCTGCAATCATAGAAAAAGAGAAACAAAGAGAGTCAGAAGGGGTCTCCCGGGTCATCTAGTCTGACCCCTGGCTCCAGCCGGCTCTGGTCATGACATGCCCACCAGGTGCACATCTAATCCTCAAGACGCTGGCAATTGAAGGACTTTTTGCTGTCTAAATGAGCCTAAGATTGAGCTCATTTTACTGAGTTCAAGTTTTTAAAACACTTCTCCCTTTACTGAGAAGTGTTTTAAAAATTTAAGGCGTGGAGCCTGAGTCCATGCAAATGAATATGGAAAAGATTCTTCTCTGGTTAACAGAGAAAAGTACTCAGCCTGCAGATATATTCAATGCATCAACATGGACTCAGTCCAAAGTATTTTACATTTCAAAGCATGTCTTTCAACAGACAGATCTGGTTGACGCATGAAATAAATAGAAGTCCTGAGGGCTCCAGCTCTGGGAGAGGCCATTTTCCAGCTTGCTGTGTCATTCCCTTCACAGCAGAGTAGACCCTCTAGGATCCCATATCTTGCTCTCCCAGTGCCATAATCAGAATCAGCACTTGGAACGGGTCTCAGAAATGCTAGCACTAGCCATGCAATCATTTCTGTGTCTTCAAGGGCTGCCCCCACAGACACTGTATAGTAGTAGTCCGGATGAGATACGCCCAGCATGATTGTCCGTGTTTCCTGCCATTGCCCCCAGAGACCTCCTTCCAATAACACATCTGTGCTCTCCTATTCCCCTTAACTCCCTAATTCTGCTCCAGCAGTGACCAAACGTTCTTCTGCCAACCGTGCCGGTTCCCTGTACAGCCCCGTGCAGCTCAGAAGCTGTCTCTCCACAGGAGGCGTTGTCCAAAGCAGGGGTCCTCAGACTTTTTCCACAGGGGACCAGTGGGCACGGGCTGGTGAGGGGGCGGGGCGGGGTGCACACACAGCGAGGCAAGACAGTGGCGGGCACGCACGGGGATCATTTTCTCCAGGCGAGTCCGAAATGATCTCCGTGTGAGCAAGCTGCCACCCCACGCGCGCACAGCGACTCCAAAACCTCTGAGGTGGGCCGGATAAAGGGGCATGGCGGGCTGCATCCGGCCCGCAGGCCGCAGGTTGAGGACCCATGGGCCAAAGAACAGAATCGACCCACTCGGCTTTAATGCAGCAGCTTCAGTTCAAGCCACCCCTGTGCTCTTGACAGAACCGCAGCCATTGGGCCGTTGCCACTGACTTACACATCACACAGTGTTAAACTTTGCATTTCCTGGCCCTGTTCCAGCCTGAGCGGTTTGTATTCTTGCAGGGACCCTCAGCAGCTGTCCAAAGTGCTGAAACCTGGCACGCCGCGTCCCTTCCTGAAGACCACTTGCTACCCTCCTGTTCTGGCACGCCATGGGGAAAGAAGCACACACGGGTTAAGAAACAGAAGTATGGCGAGCGGCATCTCTGCTTCCTCGTTCATATATTTTGCTTACTGGATTAAAAATTCATTTGGTTTATTTATTTTCAAAGCATGCTCTGCTGCATCAGCTGGAACAGCTTCCCAAGTGGAAATAAACAAGACAGTCCTGCAGGTTTAGAATCTAAAAGAGTGAAATCCGTTTCAACCACAGCATGGTGAATGATCAGAATACCAAATGGGGATCTCTGGTAGCAAATTGTTGAATCGCTCCAGTCCTGGGTTGTTGCTAGATATTCCAAGGGACTGCCAGACATTTGTTAAGCAGTGCAGCGGTCATAAATATCGTTGAACTAAAAGGGGTGGCCAGCAATGCTTAGGAGTCCTCAAACTGTACACATTTCATGCCTCATCTCTCGAAAATAAGAGATGTACTCCAAAAATGCACTGGAGGAATCTCTCAAACGAAGCACCATCTTCCAGATTATAATTAGTGTCCGAGCTCGTGAATTATGGCGTGAACTCTGGTCTTTTGATAGTGACCCAGAGGTGAATGAGAATATTGAACTAGGAGAATTGAACTAGGGAGCTTTCTAGTTACTCAGAAGTAAACCTACTAGTTTTCCTATTGGCATGTAGCATGCGACCTCTGTCTCGGGAGCAGGTAGAAAGGGATTCCAAGAATGAAGTGATGGATTTGAGTGCACTATTTTTTCTATTTATTCCAGGTGGCTTACAGATTGCATCCATCCAATGTATGGAGTCTTTAAAGGACTGCTTTACCCATGACATAAGAACAAGGAAAAGTTAGACTTGAAATCCGATCACTGCTCAACAGTATCCCCTCGCTATTTAAAGGAAAAGTAAGTCATGTTTAATGTGGGTCTCCCCCCTCTGCCAGTGAATGACAACTGCAGTTCCGAATATCCCCAGAGCAAACAAAGAAATGCTTAAACAAAATGAAGGTTTATTTCAAAAAACAGAGGCTGACTCTTTTTATTACTGGCTAGAGAAACAGGACTTGGCTTAGATTTAAATATGTTTTTAAGTTATCATAAATGGAAAAAGAAGGGTGTGGGGGCTGACTCAGCAGGCTCGATGTTTTTGATGACGGATGTTGTTTGTAGTTTTCTTCTTGTTTTTTAGGATTATGATTTCAAATAAAACTTATTTAAAAAAAGAAAACAGAGGCTGATCTAAGCATATTTCTCCTTCTT